AAATAGGATATTATATTATAAATTACTTTAAAAAGAATAAAAATATAGTTTAAATATAAAATAAGAAAAGTAAAGAAAAGCTTATTAATTTTTTTTTATTAAATTTAAATTAAAAAATTAATTAAATTATTAAAAAATTCCTTAATAATTTATAAATTATTTTTAACCTATATAAAAAGTAGTTAAAATATTATTTAATTTATAACGCATCTCCCACTTGACCTGGCCACCCCCTTAACCTATATAAAAATCCAATGTTTCAATCTGTAATAACTTAACCAATATTGGGCCCACAATAAAGTAATTAATACCATTAAATCCGTTATTTAATAAGGAATCCAGCGGTATTTTTTTCTATTTTTTATAAAATTTATTAAGCGAGATATTAAGCAATACGCTAAAAGGGCGCTAGGTAAGGATTATTTTAGCGCTTACTTTAGCGTATTGCTTAATAACTCCACAAATATAAGTTATAAAAGTTAGTAAAGGGTACCGTTAAATAGCTCTTTTTATTACGAATCTAATGGTATATTTTATTATTTTATACGATGAGTATTCGTAGAGTTATTAAATTATCACGTGATTAGCGCACCGACATTTTTTGTATGGGCTAGGGGGTGGCCAGGTCAATTGGGTGGCTAGGTCAAGTGGGAGATGCGTTATACTTTATTTAAATATAAATAAATAATTTTAAAATAAAAGCTATTATATTATATAATATTAAAGTTTAAATATATTTAATAATTAATTATAAATAATTTATTATATTAGCTATTAATTAAAAGTTAAATTAATTATTTTAAAATAATTATACTAATTAAATAATTATTACGGATAATTTATTAATATAATTAATTAATACTTTATTATTACTTTAAAAGTAAATAAATAAAGGTTTAAAAATTAAATCTTTTAAATTATTAATATTAAATATAATATTATAATTAATTTAAAATAGCTAATTAAAAATAAAGTTACCTTAAATTATATTTATTAAATATTATATTAGTTGAAAGATTTATTCCCCTTTATCCTATTTTTACCTATAATTAAAATTATATAAAAGTTCTTTAATAATTAATAAATTAACCCTATTATTTAATAAAATATTAATTAAAGGAATATTGCTTTTAAAAAAAAATATATTATATTAAAGTAATTAATTATATACCTTTAAAAACTTTATATTATTTATTAACTATATTATTATTTATTTAAATTTAACTTTTTATTTAAATATTTCCTAACTTTTAAAAAAGTATATAAGTTTACTTTTTTAAAAGGTAAATTTTATCCTATACTTTAATATTTAAATTTTATATATTTATTATATTACTTTTAAAACTTTATAATTTTATTTTATTTAAAGGTTAATTATAAAAAGGTTTATATTATTTATAAACCTTATTATAATTATCTTTTAATATATTATAAGGTTATTATATAATATTAATATATATAGGAAAAATAATAAAGGTAAAAGGGGGAAGCTTTAAAGGACCCCTACCTTTAAAAGGATTAATTAAAAAGTAATACTATTAAAATATAATTATATTAATCTTTTAAAAATAAATAAATAAACCTATAATATTATTTATAATAAATAACTTTTTTATTAAAGGATATAAATTATCCTTTCCTTATTAATTATATTAAAAGCTTTAATAATATTTAATTAAAGGAGGAATATAATGCTTTTTTAATTAAAGGCTATTTTAATTACCCTTAATATTAATTTAATTATTATATTTATTAACCTACCTTTTTTATTTTTTATTTAACTATTTAATAATAGTCCTTCCTTTTTAACTACTTTTATTAATTTATAATTTAACTCCTTCTTTAAAACCTTTCTTAATATATTAATAAATATAATTAAGCATTAACCTTTTAAAGTTTTCCTTATCCTTTTTAACTTTCCTAACTTTAAAATTATTATTACCTTTATTTATTAAAATTTAATTAAATAATACTTTAAAATAAAACTAATAAAATATAAAATAATTAATTATTTAATTAAAGTTAATCTATATACGTTTAAAAAACTATTAAATAATAAATCTTTCTTTAATACTTTTTATAAAGTTAACCTTTAAATTATTTTTATAATATCTTTTTCCTTTATTATAATATTTATTTTAAATTATTAATATTTATTATAAATAAAATCTTTATTTAAAATGTTTAATAGGTTTATTAATAGTATTAAAAAAAAGTATTCTATTAATAAGGTTATTTTTTCTTTAAAAGTATTTATTATATTAGAATTTCTTTTAATTTTAAATAATAATAATATAACTATAATCTTAAATATTAATTTATAGGTTAACCTTACTTATTTAATTAAGCTTTAAAGTATTTTTAAATCTTTAAATACTTTTATTAAAGCTTTTCTTTAATTATATCTTTATATTTTTATTACTTTTTTATTAAATAGCTATTCCTTTTTTTTAAAGGTAATTTAAACTATTATAATTCTTTTATTTTAAAAATTATAATAAGCTCTTTTAACTTTCTTTTTTATTATTATTACTTTTAATAATTAACTTTAAAATTTTAAAAAACCTTTAATAACTTTTTAAATTTAAACTTAATTATTAAATAATTTAAGCTGTTATAATTAAAAGTTTAACTTTTACTTAATAAAAGGCTTATATTTTAAGTATAAATAGTAAATATAAAGGAAAACGGAAAAATAATAATAAATAACCCATTTATTAATAATATAATAAAAAATTAAAATAAACTTATTAATAATATAACTATAATATAATAACTATTTAATAGAAAGTAAACTATTATTAATTTAAAAGGAATTAAAGGGATATTAAATAAAATATTTAAATTAATATTATAACTTATAATAAATAGAAAAATAAAAAAAGGATTCTTTTTATAAAAAAACGTAAAAAGAATATAATTAATTTATTTTATTTATAAATTAACTATAAAACGAGTAAAATTAAAATTAAATATAAAAAAAAGAAATAACGCTTTAATTATTTAAAAAGACTTTAAAGAAACCTTATAAAAAACCTTATAATAAACTATATATATAATAATAAACCTTTTAAAGTTATAGGCTTAAATAATAGTTATTATATAATTAAGCAGCATTAATAAAGTAATGCTATTAAGGTATAATAAGGAGATCCTTATTTAAATTAAAGAATAAATGAATAATTTTAAAAAAAAAAACATTAAAGGATATTATAAAAGTAATAAATATAATATTCCTTAAAAACAGTACTATTATAATAAAAAAGCTATATAATAATAATATAATAATAATATTTAAAAACATAATATTAAAAATAACAATAAATAGAAAATAAATAATAAAAGCTTTTAATAAAAGGTTTAAATTATAATATAAAAAGGTAGCTATAATTATAAAAGGGATCTTAAAAAATTAAATTTAAAAAATATATATAAATAAAAAACTATTACAATTATTTTAAAAGGAATACTTAAATATTATATAACATATCTCCCACTTGACCTGGCCACCCAATTGACCTGGCCACCCCCCTAGCCCATACAAATAACATCGGTGCGTTAATCACGTGATAATTTAATAACTTTACGAATACTAATCGTATCAAATAATAAAATATACTATTAGATTCGTAATGAAAAGAGCTATTTGGCGGTACCCTTTACTAACTTTTACGACCTATATTCGCGGACTTATTAAGCAATACGCTAAAGTAAGCGTTAAATTAATCCCTACTTAGAGCCCCTTTAGCGTATTGCTTAATATCTCGCTTAATAAATTTCGTAAAAAATAGTAAAAAATACCGCTGGATTCCCCTTTAACTAACGGATTTAAAGGTACTAATCTTTAAACCGTACGATTAATATTCGTAAAGTTGTTAAAGATTGAAATAATGGGGTTTTATATAGGTTATTGGGGTGGCCAGGTCAATTGGGTGGCCAGGTTAAGTGGGAGATGCGTTATATTATAAATTATAATATTAATTTAATAATATAATATAATTAAATAGCTTTTATTAAAATATAATTAAAATATAATTTAAAAATAATTAAATAATTTATATATATTATTTAAATATATAATATTATATTTATTTTTAAATTTATAAAATCTTTTATTATATTAAAGTTTTATTATATAATATTAATTATTTTAATTTATTTTAATATTTAAAAGAATAATATTAAAGGGTTTAATTATTAATATATTATATTAAATAAAATATTATATAAATATTAAAATATAAATAAAATATAATTAAATTAAAATTAATATATATATAAAATAATTAAATAATAATTAAAATATAATATAATTATAATATAATTATAATATAATTATAATTTATTTATATAATTATTATAATAATAGGATTATTTACTTTTATAATATAACTTATATAAAAAAATTAAAATTTTTTTTTAAAAAAAATTTATTTAATATATTATCTTTTTATTATATTTTTATAATAATTTTCCTAATTTTACTATTATTAAACTATTAATAAATTATATTTAAACTTTTATATTATTATTTTTTATTTCTTTATATAATTCCTTATTAATTATATTAAGATTTTTTTTAACTTTTTATTAACTATATTGAAATTTTTTTTAACTCCTTATTAACTATATTAAGATTTTTTTTTAACTCCCTATTAACTACATCCAGATTTTTTTTTTTACATATGTATTTACCTAGAATATACTTTTCTAACGGCAGTACTTGCCAAGATTTCCGCACTGACCATAGGGGTAAGCCGCGCTATGTGGGGAGGGGTGAGCCGCCCTGTATGCTCGCTCGTGTGGCTGAGTAGTGGCGCACTTTCATAGGTACCTACTTAGGTACAGAGTAGGTAGGTACTTATCTAGGTAGTCTTGACGACGGCGCCCGCCAAGATCGTATCTTACCTAAAAAGGGTATCTACCTGAGCTCCTTAGGTCGAATCGTGGTTGGTTGGTCTAGATAGGTGATCACCACTTACAAGTTATCTATCAGGCCTCCAAGATTTCCAGGTTATTGACCCTTTCTTCCAAGCTCAGCCCCAGATTTAAAGAGGTAAGTCAGTCACGTCAGCCACTCAGGATGCCGTGTCTAAGGACTACATAGAGATCTTGTTCGCTAACATTCAACGCTTCATCGTGCAGATTTCTTCTTTAAATCAATCCGTTCATATCTTTCTTTCATCGCCCGGTTTGGTACTTCAACTTCCGCCACTGTGCCCAGCACTTGAGCATTGATTTCAAGACCCCTCAGTCCCCATGGCTGGCCCCGCCTCCCCCAACGAGGGTCCTACGTTCGAGCCACCACACCTTCCTCCCGGATGGATAGCGCAGTGGGATGGGTCAAGTAAGAAATATTATTATGTGCAGCTTTCGACTGGCGTTTCGCAATGGGAGGTTCCTACTGATGCTGCGCCGGGAGGCACCCCGGCGCACTCAAACGAGCATCCATATGGTGTCCCGGGTCCGCGAGAAGTCATAACACACCCGGATGGAACGCAGACTCTCAAGCACCCAGATGGTCGCATGGAGCCTATCCTGCCGCCGGAAAGTTCGAGGGGCCTTGATGGACCGACCGGGGACCGAGGTTTTGGCGTATGTTGGCTTGAGCACTCTTGGTTGGATTTCTGAGTGTCCGTGACGAAACGTCGCTGACCGTCTCATCTTAACAGAACATCGCCGCAAATGCGCTGTTGAGCCAGTTTTCGGGCGGTAGTGGGAAGCCGCACGGTGGCAACAGCCAGGGAGGCTTAGGAAATTTGGCCGGTCAACTCATTGGGAGTCTCGGCAACAGTCATGGGGGTGGCCACAGTGGTTCCTCCGGTAGTCATTCCGGGGGAAATTCTTCCATAGTAGGCCAATTGGCTTCGAATTTGTTTTCGTCTGGGCATAATAAGCCCGAGCAACCGCAGAACTACCATGGCGGACAGCACCAACAAACTCACCCATCTGGTGGGCTAGCTGGGCAAGTGATGGGAGGCGTGGCAGGTATGTTCGGGGGTCATCAGGGGAAACAATCAGTAAGTTTGCTCTCGCAGAGATGCTATCACAGAATGTTTACATAATTTCAGGGGCAGAGTTATGGTTATTCCAATTCTGGCCAGTCAGGAAGCTACAGCGGACAAGCTCCACCAACGTCTTACCAGCCGCCAAATGCATCAACACCTTCATATAGTTCACCTCTTCCCAATCAACACAGCACGCCTTCATACAACAATCCCCAGGCTCAACATAGTACGCCATCCTATCCACCTCCACCGGGACAACACGGCGCATCTCCGTACAGTCAACCTGGACATCAGAATCCACCTTACGGAAATGGTGGGCCTTCACCCAACTATGGGCACGCCCCAGCCACACATGATTATCGTGAGTAGCCTAGCCCGAGACCAGCTATTCACATTCCAGGTGGGCTAATTTGAACAGCTCCTCCACAAAATCAATACGCCTCTCCTTCAGCCCAGCCTTCATATGGAGGTCATCAACAACAATACCCTCCACCTCCCTCTGCGTATGGCCAGCAATACCCACCTTCTTCATCTGCAGCCCCACCACATCAGTACCCTGGCCAGCCTTCGTACACTGGCCATGCACCCGCTCCGCCACATGGGCAACATGGAGGACAGGCAGGATACCACCCTGGGAACTGGTAGTTGAGCTTCTCACGCGGCTATTGGTTGGCCGATATTTTCAACATGATCAACTGCGAAAATACTCCCTCTTGGTCATGCACTGTTATCCCGCCGTCAAATCCTACCTCCTTCGATTTCGAGGGTTTATGTGTTAGGGTGGCGTGTATATCCATTTTCCGACCCCTGCAGGATATGCTTGACAAAGAGGGGATCGAATGTGAGGTTGGAGCTTTTGATATGGGGCAAGAAAGTATATCGAGAAGATCATTGAAACTTCTGTTTTGTTGGTTCCGCTGCTATCTGGCGAACGCATGATGATATCCATTTCCCCACAAACCAGGAGAAGAGAGCTACTGCTGTGGTATATATCGCTGTGGATAACAGCGACTGGGGTAGTATATTCAAAATAAAAGGATCCAGGATAATGTCTACGCTGACGGGAGGAACATTTCGCATTAATGTATGGTTTGTAGTATAGAAATCTGCGGCCGTGATGATTCTGAGGAGCTGGACGGACTCTTCCACACCAGGCTCCAGAATTTGCGAAGAGATAGAAACATGGCTGTTTATATTAGGCAGCGGCTTGGATGCATATTCAGAAAGTTCCGATATCAATTCAGGGACGTTGATTACAGTTTCGAGTTCATATGCTTCCAGGTTGAACGCGGTTGGTTGCTGGATATCACAGTAAGCGCCATGTACTGTTCAACTAACGTGTATATATATATATATATATAAGGAAATTTGACATACAGTTGCTGCCCAGCAAACACGGACCTCATAGCGTTGACCCTCAGTAAGGTTGCGGAGCATGAACCATGATGGCGTGCCCTTTCTCGTACCATTGCTGGGAAACTCAGCTTTGAGATGTGTACGGAGAGTGAAATTATCAGGGCCGAGTGAAACAAGTCGTAAGTGATCGAATGGAGGATACGTCTTTGAGTCGAGTTGTACTGGCGACGGGCCGAGGAAAATTGTCTTCTCAGTGTTCCCCCATGCATAAGGAACCATGAGAAGCAACCAGACATACAGGGCCAACATATTGCCGACGACTTACTCGATGTGGCAAGAGTGAGATGAGGACAGGAGAAAGGGGAACAAGCACAAAGTGTGCTGCCTAGGAACAGGAGTGAAATGGCAGCTGATTGGAACAAATTGCGCCAACACAGCACCAACTTGATTAGTGATATTACATATACAGAGACAACAAGATGGACGAGCGAGAGGTAGGTACGGCGGTGCTAGGTACAGGTACAGCAGAATTGGGTGATAAGGATGGACAGAATAAGTACTTTAAGGAGTATTGGCAACACTAAGTAGGTAATATGATGGGGCTCCACATGCGGAGACTGTCCGGTAGCTGCCGGAGTATCGGCGTAGGGGTTCTGGCAGCCTGTTCTCGCCTGCCTGTAGGGGGCTTTGGCAGGACTGTGCGGTGCTTCAAGGGCTTCAAGGGCTTCTAGGATGTGCGGGTACTTGTGCCGGGGCTGGCTGGCCCGTGCTTGAGCTCTAACAGGCAACGTCGCCCAGACTCCTGTTCAGAACTGTGCTCCTCCTGTTGGCGGGCGACGGCTGTTGATTGGATGGAATTGGGTGAGCTTGGGGTCAAGTGAGTCTGAGTGAGCAAGGTACCGCTACCTACTGTACAAGTACACTAGGATGAAATTGGGGGGTATTCTAGTAGGTACCTATCAACAGACCCGAATCGCCGCCCAGTGCGCTTACCCAAAAACAGGGGGACAACAAAAAATTGACCCCACCGAGCTCAAAACGGGCCTCAACCACCATCAACACAACTTCTCGACAACTCTCCTAGACTGCCGTGTTCTCTCCTGCCTTCAACCTCCCAGACACGCTGCTGTTGGTTGCCTTCACTCTCTCCCTCGACATCTCTCCCTTGATTTTGCTTTAAGTTACCCTTCGCATTGCCTGCTGTCACAATGCGTGAGATTATTAGTGTCAACGGTATGTTTTTCTGAGCACGCGTCTTCCCCCCTTCACCTTCACCGCATATTTCAAGACTCTGCCATCATCACCTACCTCCGGGCCATACCATACAAAAACCCATGATAGAATATCATCATCGTACTAACCGAGGCTTTGTCTACAGTCGGCCAAGCCGGTTGCCAAATTGCTAACTCCTGCTGGGAGGTAAGTGGACGATGGGAGTGCTATGCACCCTCTTCGGACGGCCTACGGGTGGTCTGAGTTTGGGTCATTGGGAACAACGAACCTTAAGACTAAACTTCTATATGTATAGCTCTACTGCCTCGAGCACGGTATTCAGGTATGTTCTCCGTGCTGTGCACCTTTTTGGTATGCACAATGTCTGACAGCGAACCGAAATAGCCCGACGGATACCTGACCGAAGAGCGTAAACAAGCTGATCCCGACCATGGCTTCAGCACTTTCTTCTCCGAGACAGGTAGGATACACGTTCTAAACCAAAGCACCCAAGACCTCTCTCCTAATCATCTGGAATACAGGCCAGGGCAAATACGTGCCTCGTACTATTTACTGCGATCTCGAGCCCAACGTTGTTGACGAGGTCCGCACCGGCACTTACCGAAGCCTTTTCCACCCCGAGCAGATGATTACTGGCAAGGAGGATGCTTCCAACAACTACGCGCGTGGCCATTACACGGTTGGCAAGGAGCTCATCGATCAGGTATTGGACAAGATTCGACGTGTTGCGGACAGCTGTGCTGGCCTCCAAGGTTTCTTGGTCTTCCACTCATTCGGTGGTGGTACCGGATCTGGGTTCGGTGCCCTATTGATGGAACGTTTGTCTGTCGACTATGGCAAGAAGAGCAAGCTTGAATTTTGCGTATATCCCGCTCCTCAGACCGCCACCTCAGTTGTCGAACCCTACAACTCTATCCTTACTACCCACACCACTCTGGAGCACTCCGACTGTTCCTTCATGGTCGACAATGAGGCCATCTACGACATCTGCCGTCGCAACCTCGGCCTTGAGCGTCCCAACTACGAGAACCTCAACCGTCTTATCGCCCAAGGTAATAATCGCCAGATAATCCGTTCGCTAGGTTGAGGCTAATAATGTTTAGTTGTTTCTTCTATCACTGCTTCTCTTCGATTTGATGGCTCTCTCAATGTCGATCTGAATGAATTCCAGACCAACCTTGTCCCGTATCCTCGCATCCACTTCCCTCTGGTTGCTTATGCACCTGTCATCTCAAGTGCTAAGGCCGCCCACGAGGCCAACTCAGTTATGGAGATGACCATGTCCTGCTTCGAGCCCCACAACCAAATGGTTAAGTGTGACCCTCGCAACGGCAAATACATGGCGACATGCCTGCTGTACCGTGGTGACGTCGTTCCCCGGGACGCCCACGCCGCAGTTGCCACCCTCAAGACCAAGCGTACCATTCAATTCGTCGACTGGTGCCCTACTGGCTTCAAGCTCGGTATCTGCTTCCAGCCACCTCAGCTGGTACCTAACGGTGACCTTGCCAAGGTTGACCGTGCTGTGTATGTGCAATTCATATCTTCGTAAAGATTAAACAATGCTAACGCTGAGATAGGTGCATGCTCTCCAACACCACCGCCATCGCCGAAGCCTGGTCGGCACTATCAGCCAAGTTCGACCTCATGTACTCGAAGCGTGCTTTTGTTCACTGGTATGTTGGCGAGGGTATGGAAGAAGGTGAATTCTCCGAGGCCCGCGAGGACTTGGCTGCGTTGGAGCGTGATTACGAAGAAGTTGCTACCGAATCTCACGAGGGTGCTGAGGACGACCTCGAGGCTGAGTACTAATTTTGAGTTTGAGCATTGTCGGCCTGCTTGATCGCACCACAAATCCCGTTTCAGCTTTATTCCTCCAATTCTCACCTAGAAGTCTGGTCTGTTTCTACAGTGTCCTACGTAGTGGCGGGGCATCTGGGTTCAGCTCTACCAAAAGAGGTGGCTGTTGGTCCCTGTGAGAATTGCTAGGTAGGGATCAGGACGACGCCCTTTGTCCCAATGTCCCTTCATCTTGCAGAATGTTTTGTAGGAACAATAGCACTATACTCTTTGTAAATCCGTCTTACCAACTTTAATAGCACCAGTCATCAGAGATGACGTCCCGAGCCGTATCCACTGCAGGTATTACGTGTATTGAATCATTACTGTGAAAAGAAAGCTTTGAAAAGCTCAGTATCATGTAGTTTTGTCTTGGTAGCGTCTTTTATTTATTCTCCTCATGGGCGTATTATAGTTCAACACAGGCATGGCAGCATTTTTTGGCCCACTGCACGAACAAGGGTGTTGCAAGTTCAAATCTCAGCCTACAAGCGAAATTGGTTGATTTTCAAGCATTGGAAAGTCCATGGGCGATCATGCAATGCAACAGCGTGGAAATGGGAGCAACGCCCATTCGTTTCCGCAAGAGAAGCCTGACGATGGTCCAATAGCACAGGCTGGGGCAAAAGAGACATGCAGCGCCTACGCTACAGCCACTCGGGGTCTGGGGTTGCAGCACCCGTGACCTCGATGTGGTAGCATGCCTATGGCAGCCCGACGATGTGACTGGATAGCTGCTTGGGTGAAAGAAAAGCCGTCTACTGCATCGGCAATAGAGAAGCTGGGGTTGGCGAGGATTAAGTAGGTAGTGCAAATGCATCCATCCCCCTGCTTGCGGATAACGAATGCCTCCTTCCTATTGTACCTCCATATCTACCTCAGACCGTTAGCTTGGATGGGGAATGATGAGACGGATTTACTTACAGTTGAAGCTATGCACTTGGGAAGATGATTCATGAATGTATACAGTATTCTATACACGATACTCGTGCTCATTATACATACCTACATGGTTTACTAACCGACGACATGATTTAGGTACTCTATAGAAATGTTGTAGACTGGTCTGATTTGCTGGCGGCTCAAGTGTGCCGCCTCCAGTGCAACACTACGAAAGTCAGTAGCGGTTGGGTAGCTCCTAATCGGGCGAATATAATCCGCTTTCCCAGCATCCTGGACCAGAGACAAGACACGCAGCTTTTGACAGGATCGCCATTCCAACTCACAAGTGGATGGACCGGGTTTACATGTCTGTAGGATTGACAGACAGTGTGATTATCTACCTGCAAATAAATGTAGCCTGTAGCCTGAAGCCTGGAGCCTGTAGCCTGTAAGGTAGGTATGGATTTAGACATTCATGTACTTACCTATGCAGCTTAGTTCCATTGCGTAGTGCGCTGCAGTGGCGGGCCCCCCGGCGTCAAATGTCCAGCCTCCTTTGCTATTTGCGAAAGCTGGAGGCGCGAGCTCGGGTTGGGGACAATTAACTTGACTTAACTCTACCTGGACCGTAACCGTAGCTTGTAACCACCAACTCCAACATCTAAGACCTTCCAGGGTACCTTTCCTTGCCCATCCTCGTTGAGCCAACAGACAGCGACGGCGTCTACGGAGAGACTCTTCCTCGTCGTGAGAGCTCTTACGGTTCTTTGGTCCCTGTCCAATGTCGTTGCTGCTGCACTGCTAACAGCTCGCGAGATTGCCGTTTCTACTCTGTTTCGGTCGTTTGAATCCACCGTCCAAAGCTAGGCAGCGCACCATCCTCCCATTCCGACTCCCGACTCCCACGCCAACCGCCCACCAGTACAACACAACAGACAAGCTTGTTCACCTGTCTGCTTTGGCCGCGCAATCATGGCCGCCGAATCTTCTTTTGGGGCAGGTACGTTATCATCTACATTCGCCACATTTCCATACTATACGTAGTTTCCCTCGACCTGGATACACCCCCCTGTTTCGCTGTTTACACTACATTGCCATCCGCTAACGTCACGTTATCATGGTTCCAGGAGCGCCGAACCTCAACTTATCCCCCGAAGAGAAGAGAGTCTACGGACTGCTTTTCCGCCAAGCTGATACCGAGAATGTGGGAGTGGTAACGGGAGAGATCGCCGTCCAATTCTTTGAGAAGACGCGGCTAGACTCGCGCATACTCGGAGAGGTCAGTTTGTTTAGTTCGCGCCGAATGTGGATGCTCCTATCTGCGGCATTCGTCCATGAACTTGGTGGTAATACTAACAGAGCTACTGGTTGTTATAGGTATGGCAGATAGCAGACCGAGAGAATCGTGGTTTTCTAGAAGCTACTGGCTTCGGCGTCGCACTCCGTCTCATAGGCCACGCCCAAGCCGGTCGAGAACCGACATCAGAGCTTGCCCTCCAACAGGGGCCTCTGCCTAAATTCGATGGCATCAACATCGGTCCCGCCCCTGCCCCCGCGCCGCTGCAGCAGCAAGCCTCCGGCACTGGTCCTATACGGATACCGCCTCTGACTCCTGAGAAGGTCTCCCAATATGCTGCCATTTTCGAAAACCAGAGTCTGCAAAATGGCATACTACCGGGTGGGCCGGCTAAGACCATATTCGAGAAATCTCAGCTCCCGAATGAAGTTTTAGGGCGTATTTGGCAACTAGCAGATACTGAGCAGAGAGGTGGTCTGGTGCTGACCGAGTTTGTCATTGCGATGCATCTTCTCACTTCTATGAAGACGGGAGCTCTGCGAGCATTGCCAAGCATCCTCCCTGCTCCTCTCTACGAAGCTGCCACGCGACGTGGACCACCGGCTCCAAGACAAAGCCCAACGGTTACGGGCCCCCAAGTATCTGCCATACCACGGCAGTTGAGCGGATCGGCACAACCCCGAACGAGCAGCCCTCTCGGACGACCACCATTAGGTGCGCAAGGTCTGGGTATCCCTCCTCAGACAACCGGGAGTGACTGGTTAGTTGCACCGGCGGACAAAGCAAAATATGATCAATTTTACGCAGACCTGGATAAGACCAACAAGGGATTCATTACCGGAGAGGAAGCTGTCCCTTTCTTAAGTCAATCAAAGTTATCTGAGGACGCATTAGCCCAGGTCTGGGACCTTGCAGATATCAATTCAGAAGGCCGTTTGACTAAAGATACGTTCGCAGTCGCCATGTATCTCATTCGTCAACAACGCACTAAGGGTGGTCCATTGCCTACATCTCTCCCTCCGAATCTCATACCTCCGTCTCTCCGAAACCGCATAGATCCGTCACCTTTTGCACCCCCTACGTCCTCACCTGCACCTGCGCCTGCGCCTATTCAACCCCCACCACAACCCAAGTCTGCACTTGATGATTTGTTTGGATTAGATGCTTCACCCAGTCCCGCTCCTGCATCCGCTTCACTGTCGCCTCAAGGTACAGGGGTAGCCACCAAAGCCCCTGCAGTCGAAGCATTTGCTGGTGTGAAAAGCGCATCCCCTATCCAGTCGTCGCCAACAGGAAATACCTTCAAGCCATTCATACCATCTTCCTCATTTGGTAAAACTTTAACGTCTCAGGACACTGGCGGATCAGGGACTTCCTCTCAAGCTGCTAGGGGACAGCCAACTAATATGGAGGACCTTCTTGGAGATAATGACCCTGAGATCAGTAAGAAGCTAACAAATGAGACTGCTGAATTGGCCAACCTGTCAAACCAAATTGGCTCTTTGTCCAAACAAATGCAACAGGTTCAGGGACAACGAGGCACAACGCAAAATGAGATCAACCAGGCCAGCGAGCAGAAGAGAAACTTTGAGCAACGGCTTTCTCAGCTACGGACTTTATATGAGAAAGAAGCCAAGGACGTGCGAACTTTAGAAGAACAGCTCAAGACTATCCGTGAAGAAACGAGAAAATTGACGAATGAAATGGTCTCTATCGATGGGACTTACCAGGATTTAGTTGGGCAGCACCGACAGCTTTCGCAAGCACTTCAGACTGATCAACAAGAGAATGCTAGTTTAAAGCAACGTATTAGCGCCGTTAATTCGGAAATTACGCAACTGAAACCACAGATTGAAAAGCTCAAGTCTGAAGCTCGACAGCAAAAGGGTCTTGTTGCTATCAATAAGAAACAATTAGCAACAGTCGAGGGCGAACGTGACAAGTTGCAAACCGAGGTTGATGATCTCACCAAGAGTAACGAGGAACTGGCCCGTCAAGCCAGCGCTAGCTCACCAGTAGCTGCGCCTGCTCAAGTAGCAAGCCCTACACCGTCTACTGCAAGTGCCAACAACCCTTTTTTTAGACGAACAGGGAGCTCAGATATCATGGGTGCCTTTTCTTCTCCTCCAGCTAAGCCTTATAACGAGAAAGCATTTGATGATATCTTTGGCCCTAGTCCAAGCTCAAGCACGCCACCGCCAGTTACGTCCTTCAAGAAGCAAAACACGGGAAATTCATCAGCTAGTGTCGGCTCTTTTGGGACACCCACAGGCTCCTCTCCTACTGCTAGCCGCCAGGGAACATTGAACATAGAGGCCACCACGAGCTCAGAATCCCGACAGCCAGTCTCAGGATTCCCGCCTCTCAGTGAGACATCGGAGTCATCGATTCCAACACGTCAGACAATGTCCCCATTCCCTAATGCTCTCGAGGCGACTGCAACAGGTCAGAGCGCAACTTCAGTTTCAGAGGCCAACCAGAGCTTGACATCTCCACACAACGAACCAAAAGAAGCAGCTTCGACTAATGGTTCGGTTCCTGGTGCATTCTCAGATGAGACCCCAACACCCAATGCTCCAATTACGAGCTTTCATAGCCACCGGGACAGCGACCCATTTGCCGGAATGAAGGATGCGGGCAATGCCAAGATGGACTTTGATTCCGCTTTTGCCAGTTTCCCTAGTTCCTCAAGTAAGTCGCAAGATAAGTCTGGAAAGGATCCCTCGAATGTTTTCTCTAGCTTCAACACAGAATTTCCTCCTATTTCTGAACTTGAACGAGATGATGAGTCCGATTCAGCAAGTGAAGGCAACCGGTTTGATGATGACTTTACACCTGCTTCGCCACCACGCAAACATGCGGGCGAAACTGAGACGACCAATGCTCCATCGTCTCCAAACACTACAAAATCCACTGCAGCCTCGCCGGTAGCTTCCGTTACAGAGAACACGGGTGCTAAAAGTCACACGCCTCAGCCTTCAAAGTACGTTACCCTCGCATGACATGCAAATAATCCTACTTGAAGTACATACTGACTGCATCAGCCTTAGCGGGCTATCAGCGTTCCCCGAACCACCGAAACTGTCGCCATCACTACCTTCACCCACCAAATCGGGGAGCCCATTTGCTCCTGCTTCGTCTACAACAACCAATACAGCACCTGTGGCATCTAAGAGCGCATTCGACGAATTAGACGATGATTTCGAAGGGCTTGAAGATGCGAGGGAAGGATCAGCAGACGACGAATTTGCGAACGTGTCAAGGTCAAACCTAGATGATTTCCATCCAGTTTATGACAGCAGCCCGCCTCCCAGTCAGCCTAGAACAGAATCCACCAATGTGTCTAATGCATTTGGCACTGAGAGTAGTTATGACTTTGGAAATGTATCAACAACCTCCGGCGGCACAGCCAGTGCCACTCCTGTAGCAAACACGTCGACTACAGCTGGGTCTGCCAAGAACCCTACGCCGCCCAACAACGACGAGTGGGATGCCCTTTTCACAGATTTGCCTCCTGCTAAAGACTCCTCGACTGAAAAGAGCACAGAGGAGTCCAGGAGCCCGACCCAGAACCTGAGTCCAGAACGTCCTAGCTTTACCGGTCGGGCACTGACTGATGAAGGCAAACATGATGATCCCATGGTGAAAAATCTGACGGGGATGGGATATTCAAGGGCCGATGCAGTAAACGCATTAGAGAAATATGATTACAACCTAGAGAGGGTAGGATGAAGTCTCCGGCATGACATTTTCTTAAGGGTCTTGATACTAATGAGGAAATTTTTTCTAGGCTGCAAATTACCTTGCTAGCCAAACCTGATGTATTTTTTCATCTATGGGGGGGCCTAAGCTTGACAAGCATTTGTGTGTGTGTGAATGAAGCTGCATAGAGAGCAGACCAGAACCAGATTGAAGATTGGGGCCGAAAACTACTCGGTCAGACAGAACCTTCCCTTGGCCACAGGGAGAATTTTCTTTCGTTGCATATCCAGCGAGGCAAAGTAGTTTTTTTCCCCTTTGTTTTGGATGTTTGATATGTGGGCAATTGATTTTTCCCATACCATACCGTCTCATATGTGGGGAAGAGAAGCTGGGGAAAGTGGTTTTTTGCAGACTACCTAGTTACCTTGTGGAGGGCGATAGGGTTTGAGGAGAAGAGAGAGAGAAAGGAAAGGGGAAGGAGAAGAGGCGCCCTGACAAGCTGACAGACTGAGATGAATAATGTATAGTCTTTTTTTTTTTCTCTGTATGTAATCTTCTGTGTCAATACCATACGTCACTTTTCACCATAGCCATAACCGTATGCTACAGCTTTGGGATTTTTGTCTTGGTGAATCTTGTACTTGTTTGATTCCTCCCTCTTTCATGACAATGATGATGGAAAGGGGCTCAGAAGGTGGATTTTGTTTTTCATAGGTACTCGCATGTTAGTCTGAATAACTTCTCTTCACGGCATAAATTTCTTGGATACTCGTGGGCATCATCTGCTGGGCTTTGGAACTTGATGCGTTTTGGCAATGAGGCCGTCTTGCGCGTGTATATATTCCGAGACTAGAGAAGAGTGTTTACACTCCTTATGTAATTTCTTTTGGACTGGAGATATTACATGGTGAGAAGGTAAAAAATATTTAAATATGTCAAAGATAGCTAGACAGCAGATAGGTTTCCGAAATGGTTAATAATCGAGTGTTATCTAAGTTGATTCGTCGCGTGTCGTGTGATTTCCGTAGTAAGGGGGGAAAGTTATCCCACTCGGATGGAGATAGAGGAAGGTACGCAGGCAGTAGGGGAAGTTGATGAGACACGTATACTACTAACCTGGGGGCTATTCAGTCTTTCGCTCTCACTTCAACTCCTCAACTCCGAATAAATTGACAAACTTCAATTGGAGTGCTTAGTGTGAGGATGTATCATGAATTCATAAGGATGACCAAAAGGACTTAAGTGAAAGGTGAGCAATTGAGTACGTTGCCAAAAATCTGGATTCAATCTTTGAATGTTCATTTGATTTATTGAAGTACAGAGGTAACGAGCATATATCACGCAAAACTCTACTGTGCGGTTTACTTTCTCATATGTATATGTCTGAAACGTAACCCTGTGAAGATATCGCGAAGACAAGGCATATATACCCTATACCTTCTATATCCCTGGACCTTGTGATCTGTTGAGTAGTATATATATATATACTCAACCCCAGAAATTCTGTAAAGCATGTAAAATAAGTTGACGGAGTAGCCCACCTGGAGAAAGAGATTAGGCCTCCTATCTTTTCCACTTTCTTCTACCCTTTTGTAGCTTGTGTATTGGATCTAAGCTCCTACATATGCTGACAGCACAAACGAGCGAACGTAATAATCCGGCTACTTTTGATGCACATCCAAGAGTACAGTGGACTTCTATCGTCATAGTTGGTTGTTTCAAGTGGGAAAATAGCAATTATCTACAGAAGGCTATGTAGTGGATTCTTGCTCGGGGCCGAATGTGAACATACATATTATATATACGTAGATTACAAGGGAAAAGAAAGAAGATAAGAAAATAATGCAGATGCATAGTATTAGGTAGAAACCATCTAGCACATAGAATTCTAGAATGATAATCGACGAATATCAGGGAGATAATAATTATAAAAAGGAGGAGAAGAGATGAAGGTAGAGGGATACATCAGGCTCGTAAAGTTCAAAACGCTAACGCCAATTAGATATCAGACCCAGCTCCCTAAGTTCAATCCAGAACTTAAACAGTAACTAACCCAGCACTGCATACAACCTTTAACTTTACCTTGACCCTGCTTCACGTTAACTTCACTTCAACAGCCCCTCCGCTTATATGTATGTAAGTATTTCGCAGCCCCCAAATTAATCAGTACATCGTCAGATCGTCAGATATAACCCGAATAAGCAGGTATCACACACGCGGTATCACCACCTATCACACAGATGTATATCCCAAGCCAATAAAATCACCCAAGCCACAAATCAATAAACAAGACCACTGGCGTACTTAAAGTGATCTACTTGAGTAATTTTATCTCGCCGTTTATTCATTTCGCCCTCTCACCTATCCCTGATCCGGTATGTGATCAGCCACCCCAAGAAAACACCTCCGTAGTACGATAACCAAACACAACACACTCGTCACACAAGTACCACACATACATCTCACAAATAAAGCGCTACACTACAGCCTCACACCCACCCTCACACCCGCGACAATATTCACATTTACCCTACGCACCTTGCCGAGTAGATAGCTATGTAACCTACCTACAGTCCCTAGCACAGATCGACCCGCAGCGATATCACTCAAAGCCCGATGATCCACTCTCTCTCTCTTTGACACCATCCATCACTGTCGCACTATATCAACGCGTTTTACATAGCCCGCAGCATATGTATCACAAGTAGTTTTCTCCATAAGACAGGCAGTAAGACAGGTAGGGCGTATTTCAGAGACGTGAAACGCCAAGTCGTAAATTCAGTACGTCATTCATCCCAGCACAAACGTTCAACAAGCATGCCTCTGACGTAAAAAGGGGGGGCGGTGACAGGAATATGTAAGACGCGCAAGCAAGCCTTGCGTTATCCTTGTGACGCAATCCCACCGAAAGGTCACGCGAGCAGATCAAATAATCACTTCGATGAGTACTATGTCCATAACAAATTATTCCGGTCTATATTCTTGTATGTAGTACGGGGATATCTCAGAGAATGCTAATAAAAAAGTTTTTTACACCCAACGCTAACCCAGAGCTCGGGGTATCATGATGCCTTCAATGTAGCTCGAACAGCTCTAGCAGAAGCAATCCTATTACACAGGGCTTCGTCACAAACGATAGTAAAAATATGTGACACCCAATCTATAACGCCCCCTCCCACAGCTTAAGACGTAAAGTGAGGAGCATTGATGACTATTCCCATGAGTACACCACCGAGGGTTCCGGCAATGGGGATGGTCAAGATCCAACCAATGAGCAAGAGGAGGACACGGTTCCAGTTGACGGCCTTGACGGTACCGTTGCATAGACCGACACCGACGGTAGCTCCAGTGATACACATGGAGGTAGACACAGGAAGAGAGAACTGGGAGAAGAGAAGGACGGTAATAGCGGCGCCCAACTCCATCGAGGTACCACGACTGGGAGAGTGGTAGGTGATCTTGTTACCCATGACTGTTCCACAAGTTAGCTTCTAGTTACTGAAGGAAAGAAAAATATAGGACGTACCCTTCATGATGTTGTAACCGTAGGTGATCAAACCGAAAGAGATAGTGACAGCGAGAACACCGAGCTGCCAAGGGTCGACAGGGGCCTTAGACTTGAGGGCATCACCAGTGGTCCAGGCACCGTAGATGACAGCCCAGGGACCGACGGAGTTTCCAATATCGTTGGCACCGTGGGCGAAGGAAGCAGTGCAGGCAGTCAAGATCTGCACAAACGAGTACAGATGCTCAACTTCGTTGGGGTACTTGGTGGCATGGGCGTAGACGATTTCCATACGCTTACCATCGGGAGTTCCGTGAACACCGTGTTGAGCAGAGTGGATGTCGTAGTAGAAACCGTAGAGAAGAGTAGCGACGATGAGGGCAGGGAAACGGACAGCCAATGCCCTGATGTTGTGCAACTCGTAGATCTCACCAGCGCCCATAGGGTTGTCACGGAGAGTGCGCATGGCCCAGCCGATAGGTCCTTGTCGCTTGCACAGGTTGGCTCGGTGCCGAGCGTCACCTTCAGCCAGAAGTGCCTTGTAGTCCTTCTCCTTAACCTCAGCGGACACCAAGTGCTTCTCATCGCTTGAGGCGGCATCACCCTCTTTCAATGACTCAGGTGATCGAGTCGAGTGATCATCTTCGTCCTCTTGCACAACGGCGTAGTTGCGAACCTTGGCTGACTCAACTCCCTCAGGGTAGGGACGCTTGAACAGTAGAGGGCCCTTGATGAACTCCCACCACTGGAGCGAGTGGTCCTTCTTGACGACAACGGTGTGAGCGTAAGGCAGGAAAAAGATAGTAGCGATAAGGGCAACTGCGGCACCGCTGCCTAGAATAACACCAGCAAGCCAGTATGCGGGCTTCTCCTTCAGGTGGAGACTGGGCGACCCCTTGTAAACGATGGACAGCGTCAAAATGGTTCCAACGATGAAGAAGAAAGCGGGGGAGGTCCACACAGCCCAGGGAACTGGGTTTTTGCGCATGTGGACGACGACCTTGATAAGCATGAAGATGATACCAGCGAAGCCACCAGAGATCAGAGGAGCCAGTCCCAAGCCAGCAAAGATGGCACCGAGACCCTTACCACCGTTCCATCCCCACTGGACCTTGTCGGCACCAACAACAGCAACACCAACACCAGCGACAGCAGAAATGAGCGAATAAGTTGACGAGACGTGGGTGGAGTTCTTGGTACACCACATGACCCAAGAAGAAGCAGCAACCAGAGCGCAGGTGAAGGCAAGCATCTGAACACCAGCATCGCCTCGGAAGGCCTCAGCCGGAATGATACCGTTCTTGATAGTCTCGGCCGTTCGAGCACCGACGGCGACGGCACCTACGACTTCGAAGATGAGACCGAAAAGCATAGCCTGTCGGTACGAGATGGAGCGGGAAGAGACGCTGGTCGCCCAGGAGTTGGCAACATCATCTATTCACGTGTTAGTCATACATAAATACACTCAGGCTGAGGACAAAAGGACTAGGATCACTCACTGGCGCCATTGTTGAAGGCGTCGAGTAGGGCAAAGAGAGTGCCAATGGCGAAGATGTAGTTGTACTGGGGCAGAGCTGGCCACGCCATTGTGCCGACGGTGTTGGAAGGCTGCCGGGGGGTGAGAGTCGGCGGGTGAGATCGAGACAAGGAAGAAAGGACAAGGGAAGTTCAGCCAGAAGCTGAGGAATGGTCGCTGTTATATGCACTCGCGGGAGAGCAGCTGGAGAGGTAAGATCCATACTTCGCATGTCTGTACAACGTGTGACCGGCCCCGGCGCGGTGCATATTGACAGGCCATTGCCTGACTTGGTACAATGTGGGCGACCTCTTGATGGTCAATCTGCAACGCCACTGTCGAACCGGGGGCTAGACATTCTAGTGAACGATGTAGTGCGCCCATTCAGTCCGTGCTAAGGAGTAGTATGGTACAATGTCTCGCCCCATCAGCTCCCCCGCCTGAGATGCCTACCGTACTGTATGCATGAAGGAACGTGGGCATTTGATCTGTAAGTATGGATATGAGATGGGATGTCAGCGCTGCCACAGAGTTAGCAATCGAGAAATGACTAGGGGCTAGGGTCTCGCCGTACGCCAAGGACATTGTAGGTAGTCATCCTAGTAAGTGGGTTGTGCCGAGGCCCTAATTGGCGAGCGGGAAAGTAGTATAGCTTCGAGCAGCTTGAGTCGGAGCCAAGCAGACCAAAGCTAACGGTCGAGAAGAGTTGAGCGGCCAAGAGGCCAAGACGGAGGCTTTCTTCTAGAAGGATGAAGGTCTCAAGAGCCGTGAGCCAATAGCTTCACCCACGTTCTCATCGACGCCCACGGCTGCCCCGTGTGCCTCGGATATCTATCCTACAGTACGAAGGCCATCAGTGTTTTGTAGCCGGTTCAAGATTGCCTACTTACATTTTTGCCTAGAGCTGTTTGTTCGGATACGGGCCCGGGCGTTCATGATATGCTTGTTAGGTGTGGTGCAGCAGTAGTTCTCATGGGATGCCTGCGTAGTGCAGTGCAATGATATAGACATCGACATAATCCATAATTCCATAATCCCAATATCCCAATATCCATGATGGACCTTGCATACATGAAGAACCGTGGGCTCGATTCGTTATTCGTCATACCATGGTCCATACCATGGCCTGACCCCGGGCGGTTTCCTACTTACTTAGCTAGCGGGTGCCTCCTCAATTCTGGTGATCTAGATTCAGCAGGAGGCTAGGTATTTTCTCACGTCCACTCCCTAGGAGCAGACTAGGAGATAGGTACAACAACAATGTACACTACCTAGCGCAAGCGGTACCAAAGGGCTGGGCAGGAGTGGGGGAAAGGATGACAGGGGACAGACAGGGGAGAAGAAGGCTCTCAAGTCCGGCAGGGGTCACGATGATTGCATTTCTGCCCAGACACTACCCAGGCTAGGGTATCTAAGCATGGATGGGCCTAATGCTCTATATCGCCTAGCTGACCCCAGATGAGGCTCTCTCCGCAGCCTATGAAAGCTGCCAAATCCCCCACGTGGTCCCGCTCACGTCTCCAAGTGGACGACATCCCCAGAATGCCTACAGATACAACATCTACATAACCTCGATAACTAATGTATCCAGCAATGACTGACTGAAGCGATGCCCGACCGGATTCGAGCTTGGAGAAGCCTGCTCGGAAAGCGACGCTAGCTAGAGTGTTCTGAGAGTCTTCTGCGTAGGTACACTGCATGCCCAGGAGCCTGACCGTCTTGGTGGAAAAGCAAGCTTTTAATTATCGCAGTTCGAAGGTTCCTTGGTATGATCTTGGACAGGTCCATAAGCAGGCCCATCGGTAAATCGGTAGACAAAGAAAGGGAAACGTGGATGTCAAGGTCGATGGCGAAGAAAATTCTTTCGGCTGAACCGCTTCGGATATCATATACCTACCTACCTACCTACCTACTTAATTCAGAACATAGGTGCCGTCACTAATACTAATTAATGTCAATAGTCCTAGTCTATATGCTAAACAGGCGTGGTTTAACCATCTGTTGACTCAAATAAATGTCGTGTAACAGACGTCTAATTGTCTGTCCACGAGAGCGCACGTGCTCATCGAATCAGCCAGCTTTCATTTCCCATTCGCAGGGTTGCTTCTTTCTCAGCGCCATTCTCATAGGGCCAGAAACGGTCCGAAAGCAGAAATGGTATTTGAGACATGGACAACCTAAATCCAAGTACGGTACCAGCTTCGGTCGTGTAACCAACCCTTACCTTGCCTTGTATAAGACGCAACGGTACAGCCGTTATGATGGTCCCTACATATGTTTATGCTGGGCAGACGCTGGGTAAGGCTTGTTGTACCCTATAATTAGTAGTTCACCTACCTAGGCAGAATCTAGCGTAATGAGGCTATAGTAACGTTCTCATATACCTAGCTAGGTATATACCCATGGCCATATTTACGTACTTGGGGACCAAGATCGTAGGGGATATATAGGCAGATGTCGCCTCTTGCTACCTACCTACAACCATTGCCGCTTGAAGGTGGCAAGAGATGGCTGATACGATTGCAAAAGTGTGCACTCAAGCGGAAAATGATCCATGCGCGCGCTGTCTGGCGTTGGTTGGCGGAAGTTGATCTGGTCTCATCCCACTACCAACTCCACACGCCCACCTGTTCACGCGAGACTTTCCAAAAGCTATAAAAAATTATATGCCCATTGCATACCTACTTGCCATCCTCCACCAGAGTGCTTGGCAATTTTCAGCTCCGGGCAACGATCCTACGTACATGTAGACCCGGTCAGAATTCCGAGCCAACGATATACTCCACGCAGTCTTTGAACAGGGTGATCCTAGGAGATGCATGAGATCATCAGGCGACGTGCAGAAGCCCATAGCGCCCTTCTTTATCAATTTGGCAAACATACATGTAGTCAAACAAGTACAATACCGTACCGCATGCAAGTTCAGAGATAGTGTAAAAAAGAATAGCAAAGTAACCTTCCGCGTCGAGAAAAGCTGCATTACTCCGCTTTCGACACAGCTCAGCTGTTGTTGGTCGAGTTGCGTTCGCTTCTCGAGCATTTGAGAGTGGACTGCGGCAAAGTGCATATAAGTGGACATTTCCCAAACTCGATTCAATACCCTCGACAGGAGTGGCCATACAAGCTAGCCAGTTTCATTGGTCTGGACACGGGTGTCGAGCTGCGTCTCGCCAAGGGCCAATGGAGTCCCGATCAACGGCTCGTATATACCTACATACCTGCTTAAGTAGAGCGGCGCCGTCTTAGGAGGCCTAGGCTCTGCGATGATCGTGCACATAACGAGCGTGGCATGTGAAACCATGAAAAAAACTTGGCGATGAAGGATCTTACGCCTATCATTGAAGAATCGAGATGCTGTTGGTTTTTCGTCGGTTTGAAAACGCGGCGTCTCCGAGCAAGCAAGCTCTCGTCGGTGTCCAATCCGGACACCCGTTGCCCCCACGCGCGCGGTAGCTTCACGGCACACATACTGTAGGCAGACAACCTTTTTCTCACATCCGTTAATGCTGTGTGTAGCGTGCTAGACGTTTTGATGTGTTGTGATGATCACAAATAATGGCATCTCAAGATGTCTTGCAGCTGAGCTGAATTTACTTAGTACGTGGGCACACTACATAGGTAGGTAGATGGGCTCACATCCCTTTTGTGGCGCTCTTGGCATGGTAGTAATACCCTCAACCAAGGCGCTACCGAAGTCGTTCTAGAAGCTAGCCGACGGGAGAATGTCTCAATGCGTGATGCTTTCCGAGGACTTCGTCGTTCCCTCAGGTTCCGCTTCCTGTCTCCTTACACCCATTGAGATCTTGTTGATTGATAATATGTAACAATTCCAGCGATCCCGGCAAGAATTACCTCTTCTAATGAGCTTGGTGGCCCTTGCCATCGTCTTTGGACGTTTGTGACTTGTTTTATTATAACTTCTGGAGAGCGACCTGGCTTTTTATGAATAGACCACACGCTGACTTGGTTCTTAGTTTCAGAAACGTGCTTATTCAACACGTGCTTCCCAGGTACTCATCATCGCATTTGAACTCGCCGGTATTTCGAAATAAAAAACGGCCTTAATAACTCGAATGGCAACATTAACGGACCCCTCGCGATTTATGGTTCACGACATTTCGACTTGCACAATTTAAGCTTCCGAAGTCCTCTTAGACTGATCTTGGCTGCCTCGACATCTCTTGTCAACGGGTGCTTGCAGGTCGAGCCGCTCGAGTCTTCTGGGCGAAATCTTAGCTTCCTTAGCAGTTCTTGTCAACGGCTTTGCGCACGTCAAGCTTCACAAGCCTTTTAGACACAGCTGGGTTCTCTTGGTATTTCCCATCAAACGGGTATCGGCTATGCAAACGTTCTCAAGCCTTTCAGACAAGAGCTCGGCTTCCCTTGGTATTTACTTGTCGCTGTTCAAGCTTCTCAAGCTTTGAAACCAATCTTGGCTGCGTTGGTGTTTCTTGTCTTTCGTGATGCCGTGAGCCGAGAGTTATAGCCCCACCACTCTCCAATGTGCATCAGTTAACTCTTTCTTGGTGTCTTGGTAGCCGGCGAGAGTCACATGATCGATTATAGGACATCGTATTTTCTCGAAAATCTCCAGTCACTGTTAGGTGTCTTATTACAACTCCCATTGTCATACGGCCAGGACTGCTAAGTCTGCCAAGACCCCTAAGCCGAACTCAACCGACACTACCCTTGGCGGAAGTGAGGCTACAAGCGATTGGATATTCAGAATCAGAAGATCAAGTTGTTGGCTGCAAAGAGACCAACAGTTAAGGCATGGCAGCCCAACAGGCGAAAGAGCCCTAGAATGTATGAGGGCCTGAATGGGCATAAATAGCCCAAGGAATCTCCCACTTCAGAGAAGAAAGAATCCAAGGCCCTAGAGACCCCTAGTAGATTATTATTGAATATGACTAAGTTCTAAGCCCTCAATAAGAGCCCTTGTCACACCCATTGAGTCAACTAGCATGGTTGGAAGCCCCTCGAGATATAAAAGTTGAGGTATAGTTTTCATTATAAAGGTACCCAGCTGCCTCTTGGCTTTGTTTGTTTGTAGCACATGTCTCATGTAAAATGCAAGGCGGGGATCTGAAAGACTGAACAAGACACAACGCCGCGCGATGTATATAAGCGGTACATAGCCGTAGCAACAAAAGGTCCAAATGTAAAGCCAGCAACATGCCCGTATATCTGGGCAGGCAGCGTGGCACCTATCAAGCTTCCAATCTTGAAACCATAAGCGATGTCGCCGGTCTGACTGGCGCAGGTAGAGGCAAGGCCTGCGGAAACCAGGTTGCTCAGGATGTACCTTACTCCGGTTGACAGAGGGAGAACAATATTGTGTGTATTCTTTACCAAAGTTTGACCTGGTGACCTAGTGTAACAGTACCCTAATTGCAACTGATGCTATTTGCCCTTACTCCTCACTCCTTCTGCCTACGCGCAAGACTTAGATTATCTAGTCTCTTTGTTTGGCTGGTTTTTACTGCAGGTAGCCACAGAATCTAGTTGTAGGAGCCTACGAGCTGTTTGCTTGCGTTCTAAGGGCTCTGGATTTCGCAACCTTCTATTTTTTTCTCCTTCTTTCCTTGCGCTGATACATTCCCAGGCATTGTTCGTGTCCATGTCAACTAACTTCCTCTCATCACCCAACACCCTCTCAGGACTCATCACCCAGCACCGAATCGTCATAGAAAACTTCCTGCAAGCCTTGCACGAGCCCGTAAACTAGTCCATTATCTTAACGACACTGCATGCTCCTACCATGGCACAATCCTCACGCTCTCTAGAAGAGCAGCTCAAGGCCACCAGTGGCTTTAGCGACCTCACGATTGTCTGCCAAGGCGTCGAATTTGCAGCACACAGATTCACCGTCTGTGCCCATTCTGAGGTCCTGACAGCCGCATTGACGGGCAATTTTTCCGTAAGTTTAGACTCGGCGCTCTTCATATATACCCTTGCCCTTCACATACAAGGCTCGGACTTACAACTTCCTAGGAGGCCAAGAGCAGTACCATAAAAATGGACTTCGACCTGAATAGCGTGAAACGCTTTTTAGAATTCCTTTACACCGGAGACTACCACGAGACCCCAGACCCAGCTCTAGAGCTCATCACATCTATCCCTACCCACGATGAAGGAATCCAGGATGCAACGGTACAGCAAACCATAGAACAGGCTATCGGTATGTACTCTCTATAACTGGAACACATGTCATCCTCACTAACTCACAGCTTCTCTAGTTTCGTATGATGGCGAAGACGACCAGGACGCGGCCGCTGAAGACCACGCACTTGTCAACGAACTCGGCAATCTCACAATCAATGCTGTAAACAAAGCCGCTGAGAGCTGGATCTGCCATTGTCGCATGAACTCCGTGGCTGACTACTATAACGTGACCGGGCTCTCTGCAATTTCTCTCGCCAAGCTAGAGGGAGGCCTTCAGAGCGAATGGTGTGTCAAGTCGTTCTGCGCTCTTCTATTGGAATGTCTCAACGATATCGGTAATAGAGACACTCTTTGTTTACTGGGAAACATGGCTGCTGAGCATTACGATGAGCTGGCCACATTCCAACTCTTCGAAGCAGGAGGCCCGGGTGAGCGGCTTGCGCCGTTTGTATTGACCAGTTGCATCAAAAAGCTCAATGAAACTAAAGCCCTCCGTAAGGAAGCTGAAGGCCGTTGCGAGCAACTGAAATACGAACTCAGTGTGCAAGAATCGCAGTCAACGCAGCATTCAAAGAACCTTGAGGAATGCATATCATTGATGGAAAACTGGTCATCCTGTCGGAACACCAACTGTGGAGCCGAGTTTAAATGTTATTTTGATAGGAAGGGCCCAGCCTCCTCACCCACGTATATCCTACGTTGCGATCGTTGCCGCTGCCGTCATGAGTAGTAGGAAACACTGGAGAAGGATTCTTGTGAATTTCTGTTGATATTGTATTAATGGTAAATTCAAGGGACGGGTAGCTAAGAGATATTGCTGTGTACGAAGATGAATTTCGGATAGTGTAAGCAATCGAGGCTCTTTTGTTATGTATCATATTGGCAACTAGGTTCTAACGTGTGTTGTCGATGAAGGTGTTAACGTCGCAGTAACTGCGTCTGTAAGCGAAAATGTATGGCTGCCGCTGTAATTACCCTAGACATGAGTCTGTCACTGAGCACCTATTTAACCAATTTTCCGGACTGTCTGGCCAAAGTCAGACCAGATGCAGACGTGACCTCGTAGGACAAGTAACCGTATTATTATCGAATCAGTGATCACAATCAACTGGTAGGTAGTTACCATTGAAATTGCACACTTCAAATTCAATCAGGTTGGTATAGTATACTTCTGTTCTTGGGAAGTGAACAAAGGCTATATGGTAACAATACCTAGAGTTTCTAAAGGACAAAGAACAGATTGATCAAGTGTTATTGTTCTATAACATTAATATATCAAAAACGGTGTCTTTTTATTATAGTGATCATAACTGTAGGTAATCCAATGTTGCCATATAATATCAGTCCAGTTGTCCAATAACACGAATAGTGTTGAGTTTCAAACAGCCAGTTCAAATGTGTATAAATGTCGAGTTGAGCTTAAACCTCTGTCAGAGCCTACCATTCTTTCTCCATAGTACAAGCGTACAGCGCAACATACACTTTAAGAACATCAGCAAAAGCCTTTCATCAACACACACAACACAACATCGCACATTAAGCAATGTCTACATTTAAAGTTCTACCTAACACTCCTGTTTCCGAGTCTCCTGCTCTGAATACCCCTATGTTTACCACTGGGGTCTTCACTACCCCCTTCTTTTACACGGTTTTGTTCGGAACCTCCCTTTTCAACAGACCTAACCCTTATCCTACTCCTCCCCCTCCCCCCCCCTCCCGCTTAACTTATTTATAATCTAATATAAAGTACCCTTATTAAAAAATCTTCCTGTAAAAGCTTGGCGCACTATCAAGTTAATCAGGGGGCATTACCATCAGTTTGTGGTATGACTCATATATAACCAGGGAAAGTTTAACTGCACTCACTCTCCTGAAGTAATTCCTGAATAATATGCGCTAGGAGGCTTCTGCACCTCTACGTGCCCACTTACTTGTTTGTAAGCTCTACGGCGTGAACTTTACATGCCTTAGATTTCCTGTCCGTAGATTGCTATATCGACTGCATATTCAGATTCATCTTAAACTCAGGATGGTGTTCACTGTGATTAACTGCCGAAGTGAGCTGTTAAACTTTCACTTTTACAAGGTAATAGCTAAGGTGTTGCCCAGACAACAGGTAAGAGGCATAGATAGTACCGCCATCTCCTCAGACGAAACTTATTTCTATGGTGCATGTAATTAGTTGGTTAAGCTTTTAAACGCGTAGCTAAATTCTAAAACGCGTCGGACCGAAGCCATTCTGACTTTGCATAGACGGCACCAGGACATGCAAGATATCAGGATTTAAAGTTCCGGTAGTGGTCAGACCAAAGGTTATCTAGTTATAAATTAATATTCGATGAACTTAACTACCGCTCTGGTGCCCCTCTCCCCTTCTCTCTTCTCCATGCTCCTCATCGGTTCACGTAACGACGACCCATCGCCGTGCGTGGCGGAGAAGCCTCTCATACTGCGCACAAAATACATTGAATGGAAAGTGAACCAGATCAGGCACTCTTTCTCGGTCTCCCGTGTCAGCGTTGATAGCCACAGATCTCTGCTGTGTCTCATCAACAACACCCCGAAAGTATTTATCGTTTTCGGCGAAACCCACGGGTCACGTATTCCACTCGTACCTGGTGTACGATATTGACGGCAATTTCGCGCCCTTCAGGTAAAGGGAGATCCAAATCCTAAATAATCTGCGCCCCGTCTCGCGTACAGCGGTGGCGCAACAGACATCGGAAGTTTCCAACGTTAAGCACCACGTCAAACGACTCGCGGATTTCGACATCGAAATAATGGATCTAATCGATGAAATTAGAGATGGCCATATTCGCAAAATCACAAATGGTCTCCGCGAAGAACTCCAAAATCCCGGTATAGAGGCAAATCAGCAGGGAGACATTTCCATTCTAGCCTTCATTCTGGCCTCCCAGGCGAACGACTCGTCACAAAACAACGAGGACGATGACGTCCCATCCAACGAGGATCATGGTGTTCCATCTAACGAGGACGATGATGTCCGATCCAATGATCCAGAATGTCGCAAATCGGATTCACCGGTCGTTATATATCCTGAAAGGTAACGTTCTAAGGTTTCCCATAATCTTCCAACTTATCGCAGAAACATAAGCGTTAAAACGATAAGTTTCTATCGTCACTGTCGCTACGATGTCCTCAGTACCTATTGCATCCTGTTCAGCGTAAGACAAGTGCTGACACATCTTGACTTTATAGTGGTCACAAGTCCTCGGATTTGGACGAGAAAAATCATGCGGATAGGAATATTGGCAGCACCCAACAGAGCACCGAGACAGAAGTAGATGTCTCAGTGCTTACGATGCACTCTGAAGAGGCTCTTGACCAGGAGGGCGATATTGTAAGTAGTCTTAACGCAACCAACCCTTCCTTCATTGTTCTGGCAACCTCCTACAGTCAGCACACTTCTGCTCTGGATATAGGCGCCTGTGCTTTTGACCGATGAAGCAAAATTACTTCAAACCTCTCAAGATAAAATAATCGCTAACTTTCGTCAATAAAGTCGGCTCGCAACATGAACTTGAGTCCCGAATTGGGCAAGAAATTCACTGAATGGTTGGCTTTCAAGGCCGAGAATATATCATGTGGATATGACAAGCTGCCTAGCGCGCCCCGTTCGTTCGAAGAGTACTTGGAATTTATCGAGGATGAAGTAAAGGAGAGTGAGATGCAACCTCGCGAAGTCAAGGCTAAGACTAGCATTTCTCGCCCCGTACCAACTCAAACTTACTACGTGGAAGACCCAGACAGAGGCTTCATCGGGGCTCAGCTCCTTCAGTTTCAACCTCTTCCCCCTCCTCGAAACAACACTGGACGTCTAGTCTGGTGTGCTAATCCTATTTTTCTTCTTTAAGGAGGGGAAATCGAACGAACCTGCCGAGGAGCTTGACTCATCGGGAGCCAACCTTGAAACCCCGGAACTCACTTAAGATGCTGAGCCTCCACGTGGAGAATACTCTGCAAATAGTGGCAGTGAAAAACATCGAACGCGTTGAGCAACTTTGTACGCTTTTGTACGACTGTTGCCTGCACGTTTCGGTCGTTTTGCCGTCATATGAGACACGATCACGCATTCGGGAATGGGATTATTCTTCACTCATTTATTTGAGATATTTTAGCATACACTGGGGGTCAGATACGGCATAGCCAATTGCATACAGAGTGAATTGTCCACATAGGCTTTGGCAGCCATAGGAGTTTATTGTATTTTGGGTAGACTCATCTCGAGTCTGGTTACCAATTGTTGGGTTGTATTTCTCGGAGGCTCATTCGACTATCTCAAAGCATGGCTCATGGGCATGCTGCCTCAATTTGCTGATACTATGGGTGCGTCGATGAGCCAAATGGCTCTAACAACAGGAGTTTCGGAGTTTTCTGCTTTCTTTTCTTGTATTTCATTGGGAGGAATACCTGTATATTAGGTTAAATGCACGTATAAATCTCAAGTATGGAGAACGACTTCCTTGGGAGTCGCGAAGCTTAAAGCACAGACCACACTCAGTACCTAGTACCTAGTACATAGTACGTACTCGCTTATGTAACAACATGACAAATGCCGAAGTTTTAGCGAGAGCGCCCACATTGGATTTGCAAATTCGAGCCATTTTCTCCTGTGAACTTTTTTGTGCCGCCTCCCTCTCCCGCCCAAACCACACACCTCTTTCGGTCGATTGCCATAGACATCAGGTAAGTCGCATTCTCTTGCGACACACTCTTTTACATCTAATCACCAATACCATTGACATTGGGGCTTTCTCGCTGCGGTTGTCCATCCCACCACTACCACTCACTTTTCACAATCCGTCGCTAACAGACGTTTTTTTTTTCTTTCTTCGCAGCAGCAATCATGGGTATCTCACGAGACTCTCGCCACAAGCGTTCCGCCTCCGGTGCGAAGCGAGCCTACTACCGTACGTCCCCGCCATGAAATAACCCGTGTGTCCCTTCTCCCTGAGCGGAGGAGGGCGCTCGTGCAAATATCGAAAGCCCGTATGCATTATGAGGCTGGCCTTGGTGCCGCCTGCATGACCATACGTTCTGACCTTTTCACCAGGGAAGAAGCGCGCTTTCGAGGCCGGCCGTCAGGAGGCCAACACCCGTATCGGCCCCAAGCGAATCCACACCGTCCGCACTCGCGGTGGCAACCACAAGTACCGTGCTCTGCGTCTCGACTCGGGCAACTTCGCCTGGGCCTCTGAGGGCTGCACCCGCAAGACCCGTGTCATCGTCGTCGCTTACCACCCTTCCAACAACGAGCTGGTCCGAACCAACACCCTGACCAAGTCCGCCGTTGTCCAGATCGATGCCGCTCCTTTCCGTCAGTGGTACGAGGCTCACTACGGCCAGCCTCTAGGCCGAAGACGCCAGCAGAAGCAGGGCAAGACCGAGGACGATGCCACCAAGAAGAGCAGCTCCGTCGAGAAGAAGCAGGCCGCCCGCTACGCCGCCCAGGGCAAGGTCGAGGCCGCCATTGAGAAGCAGTTCGAGGCCGGTCGTCTCTACGCTGTCATTGCTAGCCGACCCGGCCAGAGTGGCCGCTGTGACGGCTACATCCTAGAGGGCGAGGAGCTCGCCTTCTACCAGCGTAAGCTGCACAAGTAGATTCGCTCTACGTCACAATGAGAGGGGAGAGTCACGCGCAGAGGATGAAAAGAACCCGCGGCTGGAGGTTCGCCATGAATATGAGTATGAGGTCATTGCGATGTTACCCACACTGGAACTGGTGTTCACGGATCCTGGTCGTTTTCAGCATGGGAAGGGAACCGCTTCTACTAGGTTAAGATCAATAAAAGATCGCCGAAGAGGCAATTGTGGCATTACGGTGTTTCTGTTTTTTCTGATTTGAAATTAACAAAATCCAAACATGACCGCTCCTGTGTGTATACATTTGCGTGACTGTAACCTATCAAATCGTGATGTTGTAAGAAATATGCATTCGAACAAGCCAGCTTGTATCGTACATAAGCCGTTTACAATGAGTACTTAGATATACTGGATTTTGTCAACTAATGCTCGGTTAGCCTATCTAGTTCTACCAAGCTTGGTGTCAAGACATATATGTAGGTTGCTATAAATTTACTTACCTATGGTCCACTATACACGATAGAGTTTTCTAAGAAGAAATAGGGGCATGGTACGTCGGAAACATGTTGACTTTCAAAGCATACATTCTGTGAGTAAAAACTGGTGCACCAGGTACTTAATTACCTAGTAGTACCGCTATATATGCCAACACATTCGTTCATCTGGCTTTTCTTGTTATCTTGCCTCAGAAGCCAATGCTCAAATATCTTGACAATCTTAAGACAAACATACATATAAATATTCTCGACAGTCTCGGGCAAAATTGGGTGTTTATTGCATGATGCTGAAATACTTCTATCATCAATGAACTTCGGACAAACTCATCATGTATTCATAATATGAGTAGCCTATACATTCATCCATACTCATATATCTTCTACTTAGTTTCCTCTTCATCATGATTCTCTCGTTTTCTCACTAATCGGGTCAAAGTATGTGAGGTACTGTCTCGCAGCCTTTCTTTTCTAGTATCTCCTCCCTCTTCTCCCTTTTGAACACAAAAATATGCGTATTGATATCGAAGCCACCAAAGACATGGCCCATACTCAAACAGGTACCTATCCGATGCTTTCGCCCCTTCGCCGGCATCAAACGCCGAGTATGCGTGGGAATAAAAAAAAAAAGCAGAATCCATGCCGCTGCGTCCTGATGCATGCATACAGTAAATTACCAATACGTGACAAAAAAGTCGTTACGGTAACAAAAAAAAATAAAATAAAAACACATTATTTCGCCCACATCCAATTGCTGGACTTTGTTTAGCCTGGCTCTCTTTCGCTATTCCGATTCATCTCTCGAACACTCGTGCCTGGAACGCTCATCTTCGGCCTAGTTCAGTTTTATCGATGGCTAGACTGGATCCGTCTGATGCTTTCACGGGCGATTAACATATGTCAATCATTGACGCTTTGATTTAAAACTTGCAAGTTCTCAAGCAAACTGGCGTTTGACGTCTTGCCATTTTCTGCTGAGTGCTTCATGTTGGGCATTGGCCTGTGAAAGGGTTAGTATGGATCAGGAAGAGACATGAACTATCCGACTTTTAGCGTACCTCTGCGTATAACATCTTGGTCTGAACAAGTTGTTCCTCCAGCTCTGAAAGTTCTTTCTCGAGTCTACTATTCTCCTCATGGACTTTCTGATTCCGCTTCATGAGGTCGTCTCGCTCTAATTGCCAAGCCTGCTCAATCTCCTCAGGCTGTTTTTCAATTACAACTCGGAGCTCCTTGACTTGACCAACCAGGCTTTCATTTTTGTCTTTGAGTTCTTCATTCTCGACCTTAGTATGAATGAGATCATTCGCCATATCCGCTTGCTCGCGGTCGCTGACCTCAATCCGTTCTTCTAATTTTCGGACTTTAATGGCGAGGTTCACATTGGCGACCCTAAGTTGCTCCAACTCTTGCTCTCGTTCCTTTTCGAGCCGTGTTTTTTCCTCCCATTCCGCACCGTAAGCTTTAAGAAGCTCCGGCGTAAGCTTGATTTCGCAAGCATCGCGTACTAGTTGATCAGCTCGATATACCTCCTTCTCAATATTAGACGAGCTACTACCAAAGAACCCGTTCTCGAGGATACTCCCAGCACTTGGTGATTGATCAATATAAACATCGAACAGTTTATCCTTTAGAAAAGTAGTCAACTGTGACATATCCGACATGCCCAGCAGCGTCGAGGAGTTCTTCTGCATTAAGACTACGCCAAATCGAATGATGGCGGATAGACCTTCTGAAAGGATGAGATCATATATCCTTAGAACTAGTTGAAGGGGAAATCTGTATGCAAACAAGGTAAGGAACCACTGTGTGGCATAGAGGTGGGGAGAGATTCCTCGGCGGTGCAAATGGCAATAAAGAGCAGGTTCCACGTCCTCTAGTATGCGCTCAAACTGATATAAGTGCATGTGAAGCCCCGGCATATCTTGGATGAAAAGGTCTCGCAGTTTATACTGGTTCATGAGGCGTACTAGAAGGCAAAACGCTTCTTCCTCGGGCATGTTAAAAAGGAGTGGCATAATGAGGAAGTTCATGCCTTGAGCATATCCAACGCCTTCATCATAAAGCGCATAAGCCTTGCATACGCCAAAAAGTCCATCTTGTAGACCAGCAGCGGCAGCATATTTCGAATAGCTTGTTCTAGCGCCAAGGTCTCTCCGAATGATCTTCTCGAGCTTCTGCAGTGCCGCCGCATCCTCCTTCTCCTTCTTCTTCTTTTCTGAAGCAGCCAGAGCCTGGGCTTTCAGGGCAGCTTCTGATGGTTCTGGAGGTGTTCCCGGTAGTCGTTTTCCGCTCACCCCAGACTGTTCAGACTTTGTGGAAGACGCAGATGAGGCTGCGGGTTCTTTCTCCGTACCCAAGTTACTACCACTAGTAATACTTGCAGCTGTACTATTGCTGTTTCTGTTTTTATCTTTCTCTGTTCCTCTGGATGCCAGTTCTTTGTAGACCATCTCCAAGTCTTCGTTTTTGCTTTGAGCCAGGACTTGCCAGACAACACCACGGATGGCACTAGGAATCCCTGATGCAATCGCCCTGTTCAACTCCTCTGGGCTTGTCCGAGCAACGGCAGCGGGCCCTTCATAGACAACTGATTGCCAAAGATCCCAGTCAACGGGAGTGTCAGCTATAGCGGATGGGCCAGCCGAAACGCCCGATACAGTGCCTGGAGCCAGGTTGGTATCTGCGGGCGGTAGTGGTGATGTGGGCCCTTGAGCATTTGCCCCTTCGCCTTCTATGCCCGGGCTCATGATAGCGGTGTTCGATCGCGGAATCAAGTTCGCGACAACACTTTGGGGTTGCTCGTCATCGCCTGGTTGCAAGGAGATGCCGGCCTCTTCCCGCAAACGCACCATTTTGAACCTGTCCCTTAAGCTGTTTCTTGATGGACGAGCGCCGCCAATCACATCTGTTGATTCATGTTCCTCTTCTAGTTTGCTCAACATCATTTCCGGGTTGCTGGTCAGTGTGGCTATTGAGCTCCCTGTATTTCGCCTAGGAGTGCCTGTGCTAGCTAAGGTTGGTGGTATCACAGTTTCTTTGTGACCAGAATTTCGAGAAAGCCAAGAGAAAGGACTCGTGATTTTTCGTGTAGGAGGGGGCGGCGGCGGTGGTACAGCTGTTTCCGAGGTGGGCGCAACAGGACTCAATTTCGGCGGAGACTCGCCATTTGAGGGTGACCACGGCATGGCAGGAAGAGACGCTGCTATGTTACTAAGAGAAAGTTTCTTTTTGGGCTGTTTTTCTACTTCTGGCACAGTTTGTTCCTCTGCATCCAAGGTTAGTAAATGCATTTCATACACGTGGAGCGCTTCATTTATGGCAAACCTTTGGGCTGCTCAATCGAAGGGCCAAGCGAAGGGCCATCGTCAAGATCTACATTGTCTAAAGAAACATTTGAAAGCCGTTTTGAGGTTCTTGCAGAGTTCGTAGCAACGGTGCCACTTAGGTCATCCGTATTCTCAACCGCGCCGTCTACTGCCGTGTGGCCATTTGGTTTTTCTATGTCCACAGCAGGGCTTTCTAGTGCATCAGGAACACCTTCGGCATCGACGCTGGCGGAAGGTGGAGATTTTGGCTGGCTGATTTTTCGATTTGTGAGGGACCGGACAGACCCTGTATCAATAGCGTCTTCGAAGGTATCCTAGAAGAGATATGGGATCAGTTCCAAGAAGTCCGAAGTGTTGCATATAGCATACAACGTAGCATAAGCTAGAGTGACATTGGGGGGCTGGGTATCAATTCTTGGTGTACGTACTGTCTCCTTGTCCGAAGGTGTCGGTGAATCGAGTCGGGGTACCTTTTCGGCAACAGGCTCCTCAACAGTCGACATGTTGCCAGCCGGTGAAGAAGCTGGACACAGAGCGAAAGGGGTGAGAGTGGCAGTTAATTCGAGATGGGTGACACAAGAGGCCTCGGACAATTTTGTATAGTATTCAAGATGCCCTTGCCATCCGCAGCAAGCTCCCAGCAATAGGGTTAGATGGTTCGGCGTTAGGGAAGGTTGATGTAAAGGTGCAGGCAATGCAACGTCGAACGAGTCCAGGGGATCGCCAACGGCAACTTGTCGACCGGGTGAGCGGCTTGAGGAAAGGCGGAACGGAAAAGAGGAGCGAGAAGGAGCTGGAACAAACAGAGCACAAGAGAAAGCCAACGTCGGCGGTACAGTCGGGCTTGTATCACGGCGGCTGGTTAAGAGAAGCGAGCATGAAGACGTTAGATTGAGGTGGTCTCACGACGTTTATTCCCTTTCTCGCCGTCCGTTGTTCGTCTCCATGCCTCGACAGGGCGCTGGGAAGTACCTGCTGGTATGGTATCTACCTGCCTAATCAGCTGCCTCCTTACACTAACTTACAGTGGATTGTAGGTACCTACTTACGGTAAGATGAGTGGCTTGCCGTTGGTGGTTAGTTGGTGGTTACCTGCGGTAATCCACACCGGACCCCTGCGCCGGGGCGGCGCCCATCTGCACCATGTGCCTGCATTTGACGCCGTAGCGCGATCTACAGCAGTCGGTATTACTGGCTTACTGGTCAGAACTGCACTAGGTACTTGCCTCTCCCGTACCTTTGGTCTCGGCATTAGATAGGCTGAGCTACCTAAGTGTTCATTTGTACAAGATGCAATTTATACTCTACATAAGTACCTAACTAGTTAGATTTTTCTTTTCTCCTTAATGCCTATCTGTACTTATGGAGCATTAAGTATTAACTGCATTGCTGAAAAGATATCCACTGGTAGGTAACCAGATAGAGAAATATCTACACTGTTAAACTTAGTAAGTACCTAAGTACGTGGCTATCTTCTGTGTACCTGTGTAGATTACGTGGTAACAAGGTGCTTACCGGAGCATGTATGTGATGTCACGCAATAGCAAGCAAGCGACACTGTGGAGTGCGTACTCAAGTATCTGTTAAGTATGTACATAGTCTGCACAGCCGTGAGAAACACAGGATGAGATGAGCCGTAGCTAAAGCAGCTTCAGGCAAAGCATCTTGTGAGGTAGTCATTACCCATGTTCGATGACTACCTATGTACCTATTATCGGGATAGTAAAAAGAGAAGAAACCTCTCATGTGCTGAAGAAAAATAGAAAATATAATTTACTATGTCCTCGGTGAGGCTCGAACTCACGACCTTTGGATAGCCCGATCTGGGATCGGATCATACGAATATGAGACCAACGCTCTAGCCAACTGAGCCACGAAGACTTGGGAGTTTTCTTTGATGATTTGTGGACATTGCGACAATGAAAATAGCTTAAGAAGAACTGTACTCCATGTATGTATCTCTTGTTTATTATGGGATGCGTGTGTGTGTGTGTGTGTGTGTGTGTGTGTGTATGCATGGCGGGCCATACCCATGTAGGATATGGAAGTCTACCTTACTATAAAGATAAATGTAGCTCTTGAAGACTCTTTTGTTTTGTTTCTACCCTGATGGCAGGTACGGTGGGAGTGGCTATATTACCCCTTACAGTGGATTCCTTCAGTGATTAGAACTTCTATTCTACAACATCAATAATAACCCCTTGGCAATCCCTACACTTATCAACCCTTACAATAATACTAAGGCATGAAAATTCCATCTCGTGCCTTGTTAGTGATCAGTTCCTACTATTAAAATGCCGAACAGATATGCGGCCGCACCCTCCGCCTAAAAAAAAACGAAAAGTCAAAATGTGATGCATTGCTACAAGAATCCCATGAACCAGCTAAGATTGAGAGAGAATAGGCTCAAGTCCTGTTTCCGCTGGCACGTGTCGACCACCCTCCTGTTCCAAGCCTCTGCCACGATGCCAAGAGAACCGTTGCAGCTCGAACGAATACTAAAAGCTGGAGCCTACAAAAAGTTTAAGTTGAAATCGAGATATAAGCACCAAGGTGAAGATTTGATGGTCTCTTGAAAGATGACGCCCTAGGCTTAAGTATGGCTAGCGGATGTCTACCGAGTCATGCCCGACTCTCTGTTTTCCCAGCTGTGACGGCCACGGAGACCACCCGAGATAACGACGTCTATTCACTTCTAGCCTGAACTCTAATTAAATCCATCATCCCATTGTTATTGCTGCGCCTCTGGATGCTAGCGGTCATGGATAAACTTTCAAGAGGTCATCGCCCCTAACTCTTGTATATAGGAGGGGAGAAAACACACATCATGAACTCGCTATTGATCTTGATGCCGGGATTTTGCCTCGCCATATACCAACATCAACACATTAAAGGGAATTCGTGCAATATTAGTTGCAAACGAGAGGTACATCAGCATCTCGAAAGCCTCGTCATTTTAGTGATACTTGTTACTAGCATTTGCGAACGGCAACGACTTATAGGCGGCACCTTTCGAACTTCTACTCACCCTTTACGAAGTCCATCCCGCGCGGTATCAACATCGACTCATGAATCGTGGCGCAAACGGCGAATCGGGGCCGGTTCTGGATCCGATACCGTTCCCATTGGCAATGGGCCTCTCTGCCCTTATCGCCATTGCCGTGTATAACAGCGTCGAACTATTCATATTCATCTTCCGCACGTTCAGTCGTCGTCGAGGGCTGTATTTCTGGAGTGCGGTATGCGCGACTACGGGGATCTTGCTCATCCCAATACTTTGCCTACTGCGGTTCTTCGCGCTCGCCAACCCCGGCACCATGGCATCACTCATCAGTGTTTCGTGGATGTGCATGGTCACGGGGCAATCTCTTATGTTATATTCGCGTTTACACCTCGTGCTATGTGACCCGCGCAAACTGCGCTGGCTGCTATGCATGATCATTGGCGTGTTTGTATTCATCGAAATCCCAGTTGGCACTCTATTTGCGGTTAACAATTTCTTCTTCACTGGGGCTAGGGTGGCTACTGCGTACGACGTGATGGAGAAACTACAGTTATCGGTATTCACTGTACAGGAATGCCTGTTGTCTGGGCTTTATCTGTACGAGTGGGCAGGCGTGCGGAAGGAACTGGAGATAACCAAGGGCCCCAGAGTCCGTAGACTGTTCCATGAACTCATAGGGCTATTCATCTTGGTTCTTGCGTTGGATTTATCCCTTGGTAAGTTAACTACAACTCTTTTATCTACTACTCATATGAGCTGAAATCTGAGATTTATCATCTATGTGGACAACTCGCGTTTTCTTCACCCTAGCGCCGAGTACTACCTATCAATAACTGTGATGCTAACACTCGGACAATTATAGTCGGTCTCCAGTTCTCAAACCAGTTTAAAATTCAGATCACCTATAAGCCTGTGGTATACAGCATCAAGCTCAAGGTGGAAATTTACGTCCTCAACACCCTTGTGGCCCTGCTTAACTCCAACTACAATTGCCAACAGGGACTCCCATTTCGGGACCAAACGATACCACTCCATACGAGAGCCGAAGATGACCCATGGCCGCCTCAAAACATTCATTCAGTAAATGCGGCGGGTGAAATGGCCAGGCAGAGAAGTGAAAACAGCACTATGTGCGGCTCTCTTTCATCTACAGGTAGCAGAATTGCAAAAGTGCCGAGAATCATGTTGGGTGCGTGACTTGATGGGACTCTAGTTGGGTTATCGAGATCACTATGTATATAAGATACACCACAGTTCAGGCACGCAAAAGCAAATCAAATTCTCTTTTACTACCAGATATGTGCATAACATGACCTGGCGATGCCTGAAAAGGGCCCCCAACATCAAAGTAAACAACGAGCTCTGACCTATGTCCGCATGATGACGTGGGTACATCTACACTCAACACACCTCAAGTTTTAGAAGGCTATACCTGCCAAGGTAGATCTACCCGTCTCAACGTGGCTGTATGAGTTCGACCCAAGAAGCCCATATCTGAAACCTGCCAAGGCTATCCATGTACACCTTTATCGAGCCCGACAATCAGGGCTACTCGCACCTCATGATCTGGATAGGCCCACTAGCAACAGGGTGTATCCTTAACATCACTTCCAATACCACTCATATTAGAGGATTTAGAGGAGCGTCTAAGAAAATGACATTAGATCATACACTATGCTCCACACCCGCAAGAAGTTATAAACATTCGTGAGGGTGTGAGGTAGGCCGATGAGTGTGTTGCCAAGACTGAGATCGGCCTGGCTTCATACCCCGCATAGTGGAGTGCAGATCATGCCTTGACGGCAGCTTTATCGCCAGCATAAATGTACTGTGACTTGTCGTGAGAGATAATATCTATATACTAGGGTTAAAGATGGTGGTAGTTATAACGATTATATTCACTCCCTAATCTGAATACACGCTATTGTAGGTCTATCCACGGATACTATATGTACCGAGTAGGTTAACTAAGTAGGTAGTTATTGGAGACTACATTTTTCAGCTCGTCTAATGTTGATAGGTCCCTAGTTATAATTGCGGCTCTCATCTTATCTCCTGTTAGTACCTATACTGACGACAGGCTTTGATGTGAGTGATATTATAACCAGCTCCGGTTCGTCACCCCAATTACTATTTCACGATGGCCCTTATATCTTCGACTCGAGGGAGCTATTCGTGGAACAATTGATCTGGAACCCACTTCCCTATTTCGGCCTCAATTTAACCCTCCGTCCTCCCATTATTGGTTAGCTACATCAAGCCACCAGCATGATCGCGTATGCAGGAACACGGACTGGCGACCTCCTTTGAGAGCGTGGTTGACGACATCATACATGCCGCCTAGAGATTTACGAAATCTGCCAAAGTATTTAATGATGAGGATAGCCTCTTCTTCGACGCTCATGAGAGCGCTTCACGCTTCATACGTCCGCAACGTCTCATAGAACCTTAGGATAAGATGCAGTCCTTCATCCTCAGCACAGTATTCGCTGGTCTCGCGGCTGCTGCTGCCGGCCCGTACGCACAATGCGGTGGTAATAGCTGGGCGGGAGATACTGAATGCCAGTCCGGGTACACTTGCATGGTATCAAACGAGTGGTACTCTCAGTGCTTACCTGGCACTGCTGCTACCACTACTGCGGCCACGACTACGAAGACAGCGATACCAAGCTCTACTACCTCTACCGCAGCGCCTACCTCAACGGGTGCCGCCGGAGCGCTCAAGTGGCTTGGTATCAACTTGTCGGTGGCCGAATTCGGAACCGGTATCTACCCTGGAACTTGGGGCACAGAATTCTATTTCCCTTCGGAAGACGCTATAGCAGTAAGAATCAGAAAGACTCTCGCTCTATACAAGTCAATTCTTACTAGTTATTATAGACTCTTATGGCTGATGGCTACAACCTGTTCCGCGTGGCTTTCTCCATGGAGCGTCTCGTTCCTGACAAGCTGGCCAACGATGTCTCTGCCAACTACCTTAAGAACTTGACTGCTACCATCGACTACATTACGGACAAGGGCGCTTACGCCATTCTAGACCCGTATGTTTCTGAATTTATTCACTTTGCTCGATGTTGACGGCGGGGGAGATCGATGTTGCCAGAGCCTCTTTTCACAGGCTCTAGTGGCATTGACACACCTTAGCCCATACAATAATCAAGGAACTCACAACTGGTAACATTTACTCACTTTACCTTTCAGACACAACTTCGGGCGCTACTACGGTAACATCATTACCGACACAGATGGTTTCGGTATCTTCTGGACCAAGCTAGCGACAGCATTCGCCTCCAACGAGAAGGTCATCTTTGACACCAACAATGAGTACCATGATATGGACCAGACACTCGTCTTCGAACTCAACCAGGTCGCCATTGACGCCATCCGCGGCGCCGGCGCGACCTCGCAGTACATCCTCGCTGAAGGCAACGGCTGGTCGGGCGCACACGTCTGGAACACGACGAACGACAACCTCTCCGGCCTGACGGACTCCGCCGACAAGCTCATCTACGAGATGCACCAATACCTCGACTCGGACAACTCGGGCACGTCCGACATGTGCGTATCCGCCACCATCGGCGTAGACCGCCGTAAGTTTACGATCTCGAAGTTCCAATAATCGAATCAGTACTGACTCTGAACATCACAGTCATCGGGGCCACTGAATGGCTCCGCGAGAATGGCAAGATCGGTATCCTGGGCGAGTTCGCCGGCGGCGCCAACGCCCAGTGCAAGAGCGCCGTCACGGGCTTGCTCGACCACTTAATGGAGAACAGCGACGTTTGGCAAGGCGCCTTGTGGTGGGCTGCCGGACCATGGTGGGGTGACTATATTTACAGCTTCGAGCCTCCGAGCGGCACCGGCTACACCTACTACAACGATTTGCTCAAGACTTACGCCCCTTAGGTCGCTTTGGAACGGCAGGGTATACTGTATCTGATAGAAGGCTGTATACCTCCCTGTTTTTCTTCGTTAACCTTCTAAGTATATATATATAAGGAATACATGGAGAAATATACTTCTGTGACCATATGGTGGCGTATCGAAGTGATAGGATTTTAATAGGATGTTTCATAGGATTGTGTATTAAACTATTCTGGGAATGTCTTAAACGGCCACAAGACAGCGACTTGTTGTCTGTGGCGACAAAAACTGGCCCTTGTTATGCATTTACGTGGCGTGTACCTAGATCCGAAAGTAGCGGGTGACTAGTGTACAGGAGCGAGCCTAGTAAACTCCGGGAATAATGACATATTTCCCCTTGATTTTGTCCTCGCCGAACTTCTCTTTATACCATTTGCCACCGGCAACAGCGCGAGGAAGCATGGCAAAGAACTCGTTTAGCAAGAAGCACCGTGCGGGGGTAAAAGCGAGGCCACCAGCGATCCAATAGCCCGTCCATTCAACCCACTCCATGAAATAGTGTGGGAAGAGCATGTACTTGAAAAGGCCGTTCTGGGGAACTTCGTAGTGCTTGTCAACGGTCTTTCCCTGCTCCCTTAGCTTCTCCTGGCGCCTCATCTCACTGCGTCGGATCTCACGGAGCTCCTCGTCGGAGAAATAGTTGCCGGTCAACCCAACATAAAAGACAACGAGACCAAGAGCAAATTGAGCGACGGAGAAGCCTTGAGCCTCCCACTGCGCTTGAGTAGTAGGGCCGTAAGCGGCCAACCAGCAGCCGATGGCGGTACCATTGACGACTTGGAAGACGATGGCATTTGACCAGATGTTGAAGTGAATCGGGGACATGGACGGCTGCAGGAAAGGGAAGAAGACGGCGCGATAGATGTAATGCATGACGAATAGTGAAGCGAGCACCTTGTTCTGCCACGGCAGGTCGGTGATACCGTGCTGGGCGGGCAAGGTGGTCATGATGTAGAGGAGAGTGATGAAGCCGGGTATCTCCATAGTGAACCACGCGATGCGGCCGGGGAGGTTGAGTTTGCTATCAACGGATGTCTTACCCATGCCGTACCACGAAGTGAGCCACTGTGTGGAAGCCATCTATGAACGGAGTCAACAGATCTTGTACGAGTATTGCCGGTTTAGCGACAGCATATGAGAATCTTACAATTGGGTAAAACTGCCACCACCACATCAGGGTCTCCCAGTTCTCGCGACTCGCGGGGAGCCATCCTTCCACGATTGCCATGGTTAAAGGGATTTGGCGACACCTGGTAGGGGTTTGCTGATGCCGAAGTTTGCTGTGGGAGGGGCACAGTGGTGAGATCAAGAAGATAGGTAGAAGCTAAGTTCGGGTATTACCCGCGATACTGCACCCCGGAATTGTTTTGTTGGTACCTTTCTGGGACGAAGCTTCGCTTGGAAATTCTGGGGGCGGGGGACCAGCTTACTGTTACCTACTGTACTTATCAGGTACCTACCAGGGGCTGGAGCTATCGATAACGAGCTAAACCTGGATGGATACTGATGTCATTGATGATAGATATTATATGAAGATCCCAAATATACAATTCCACCAGTCTTTCCTGATTATGAACCACATAGTTACGTGGCGAGAGTTGTGAGGTCTCAATATCGTGTCACTAAAAGGATGTAGGTAGTACAACTTGAACCGATTCGTGCATGACTCGAACTTGAGCGGCTTGTCTCAAGTAATCACGTGACATTTCAAAGTCGTACAGGATAGCTGCCCTAGGTAGGTGCAGTGATTCAGATACGAGGAGTGCTGTCCTGATATTGTACCCATCTGCCTTAGGATATGCCACGAAAGTATAGAAATGCAGGTGAGCTAGAAGAATATGTGCTGCAAATATGAATTGATATTCTTTAACCATCTTGAATATATTCAGCCTGGTAAGCAGAGGATGGGACAAGAAAGACCACCCCTGATGAACAGATTGAGGACACCTTCTAATCCCCTATCACCAGCAATACCTGCCGACAGCGCAAACTGAAGTGTAAGGCATTTAGATAACTCCCCTACTGAATATATTGTCTACTGAGAGCTTACGTTTCTCTTCACTTCTCGTATAGGTGATGAGACCTTCCCTGTTTGCCAACGATGCTCGAAAGCTCAGCGCTATTGCGATCGCTCAGGGAGACCATCCGGGCACTTAAGCTCCAGCGACCTAGATACCAGTTAGTAAAAGCCTCATGATCGAAGTGCACCTAGTCCTTGTTAACGCATACCTACGTGCGCAGACAAAAGCTCGTCACCGGATGACTCTCCCCGTAAACTTCTGCAGTCATCCGAATTGGCAAGCTACTTCCGCGGCTACATTAACAATGTCGCACCGTGGTACGATCTTAGTGACTCAAGTTGCTCATTCTCTAATGAAGTTCCTCTAATTGCTTTGGATGAATGCCTCCTGTTCTACGCAGTAATCGCTTTGTCTGCTATGTATGTGAGTCAGACTACGGCGCCATCAGCGCGGACTATAGCCGAGATGTATCACACGAAGTGCATACGACGTCTCATCGATCTTGGTCCGGAGGACGTGTTGATTGGGAAAGGCGTGGCTCTTGCTGCTACCTGTCTTTTGAGGTCGTATGAAATCCTGTTTGGTGAGTAGAATCACTTCGATCAAGTTGGTGTAGATTGCTGACCGACATGCTTGTTGTTGTAGAAAAACATGATCCTAACAGGCATTTGAAGGGTGCCTTTTCTCTGGCATCTCAACTTCGAGATTTCGTTGGTCACCCCTTTGGAGATCTTCTTCACTCTGGCTTCTGGAATTATTTGCGTGAGGATATCACCTTCAGTTTATTCGGAAACTGTCCCTTGAAGATGGGCCTGGACCATACACTTAGACTTCACAATGTGTCGTCTGACCAGGACCGACTAAACACTGTAACGCTCGTTCTTGGACGTATAATCAATGCCATGATTGGATCTTCGGCCGAAGAGGCGAGTAATCGCTGGGAATTAATGCTATCGTACATCAAAGACTGGCTGTCGGACTTACCACCACATTTTCAGCCCTTCTCACGAGCATCAATCCCTTCATTATCCAGACTTCCGACAGTACATATGCTAAAAGCATGCCATGGTAAACCATCCTGCTTGAAACTTTAATCTTTTGAGCTCGCATGAGGTCGGCATCTAACATTGATTAGCCGCATCGCGACACTATTGCTTAGTCTCAATTGCAGTGCTTGCAATACATGCACAAACAGCATCGCGAGTCGACGATTTAGCGTCTCTCGCCTCAAGAACAGGTCTCATCACGACCACTGTTACAGAAAAAGAAGATCTGCTTGAGCAGATTGGCCTCGAAGTTTGTGGTATCGCATTTACATCTAATGAGCCCTCTGTTCTGGTAAATGCCTTTGGTCCTATATCTTATTGTAAGTCCTGAGTGCTACTTTGCTTTTTCATTGCCTATTAGTGTTACTCTATGCTGACGGGCACTGAACGCTTAGGCGCAAAACATATACGGGAAGAGGCGCCCCAGCAAGAGTTAATCAGACACCTTGTAGCTTCTAAGAAAAGTACAGGTTGGCCCGTCCAACAGATTATCCCCAAATTGCAGCAGTGCTGGAAGACTAGCTTCTTGACATGAGGAGCCCCGCGTTCTGTCTCCACCTTCACCTGAATATAGAGGCCCCGACCACGTATACATGATTGAGGTTCTAGAATTGTGACGGAGCGGCGCAGCGCTTTCGCCAGTGGCGCAGTGCGCCCCTGACGAGGGTGCACTGCGCCCCGGCAGAAGCGCACCTATAAGGGCGCTTCTGGCAGGGGCGCTACGCTCCGAGGATTAGCCGGAACGCCTATATAGTTAGAATTTTCTACGCACTTTATTACAGAATTAATAATAAAATAACGCTTTTAACTTAACTTTAAAAATATTGCCTAAAAATATTAATTTAATTTTATTAATTATAAATATCTATAAAAGTTATAAGCCTAATTTATTTATAAATTAAGTTTTTAACTAGGATTAATACTTTTTTATTATTAATTATATAAAATATACTTTTTTCTTTTACCTTTTAATTACTTAATATTTATAAATGTACCTTATAAACGTATAATATTTAAATTAAACTTAATAGAATTTATTATCCTAAACGATACTATATTATATTTAACTAAGGATTAGGTTAATTAGTTTACCTATTTTTAAGCATATATAAAGGTATATAGCATTTAAAGGATAGTAAACCTAAATCTTTTATAAACGTTTAAAAAAATCGATACCTTTTTAAACCCTTAAACGCTTTTAACTCCTATAAAGGAATTTATAAAGGAAAATATTATAATTTAAAAAAAAGTAACTTATATTAAAGCTATAATTAAATAAGGGTTAAAGTATAATAATTTTAATAAATTAATATTAATTTTAAATAAAAATATTAATAATAAAAAATTAAAGGAATAATATAATAACGTTATAATAATATAATTATTAAAAATAATTTAATAAAATACTTTTATAATTAAATATAATATACTTTTTAATTAAATTAACCGTATAATTAATAAAAACCGCTTTAAAATTGCTTATATAATAATTATTAATAATAATAAATTATAAATCCAAAACTTTATTAAAGCATTTTAAAATACTATTACTTTATTAAAGTTTAACATTTTAATAATAATTTAATAGGATTATTACGCTATATTTAAAAGGGTAAATGCTAAAAGCATTAATATAATAAAATAATATTAAAAATGGAACCTAATATATTAATATATTAAAGTAAAAGATATTTTAAATATTAAAGGAATCTTAATAATAAAAAACTTTTTAAAAGTACTTTTATAATATATAACACTTTTATAAATAAATATATAATTAATAAAAGTTATTAAAAATAAAATGTTAAAAAAATTAATTATAATATTAAATAATTTTAATAAAATATTTAAGGGCTTTATTAATAAAAATAATATATAAAAATATAAAGGTATAATAATCTTTATAACGTTTAATATAACCTTTTTAAATAATAATTTAAATAATAATACCTTTTAAAAGTTTTTAAAAGTATACGGAAAAAAGAAGGAATATTTATATTTATATATATTAAACTTTAAAAAAATATATTTATAAAAATTATAAAAATATAAAAGATTATAATTTATAATTATTAAAAAAAATAACCTATATTTAATAAAATTATTAAATAAATAAATTATTAAAGATATTAAAATATATTATAAATATATTTATTAAAATAATTTATATAAAATTATTTTTATTAATAAATAAAAGGTTA